CCCTGCCCCATGCCCCCCACCTCCTGCCTCCAATAATAAAACATTAGCCAGAGTTTGGGCTATTAGTGTCAGACTGTTGGCTTGGCAACTATTAACCTTTAAATGATTATATGGATTTCTGGTTTTGTCTTTGTCTTAAGCAGCAAAAACTTCCAAAGGATATTGGGTTTCTAGCCACATCCCAAGACTGAGTCAAGGAAAAAGTACATATTTAGAACCTACAAAGGTTAAGGTTCGTTACACAATATCAACTTCTAGTACCGTGAGGCTGGATGAGATACAGATAATCATCTACTCCACTCCCTGCGCTAACAGATAAGAAAAACCGAGGTCCAGAGAGGCTAAGTGATTTCTCCAGGTTCACAAAACGTATTGTTCTCCAGAGCCAAATGACACATGGCTGCTGCCCCAGGAGGCCTCCAAGGACCATTCCAGAGTGCAGAGGATCTGGCTAAGTCGTGGTCAGATGGTGATTTTAATCGGTATTTGAAAGAGAATTATCAGCTCACTAAAACAGAATGTCTTCTCTCTGACACACTGCTGCTTTTCTCTGGCCATGTTTGTCAAAAGGACTGCATGAGACATGCCAGGCCAGCAGGGTAAAACAGGAGCAGGAAGACTGGTTCCCGAAATGTTTTATGTCTGAAATAATCTTGGTCTGGCTTTACTTCTAATTCCTTGAAATCATAAAATATAAAATTAACTAGAAATGATTTAAAAATAAAACCCCTAAAGACAAAGAACTGTTTTCTATTTACCTCAGAATCCAACTTCCCCAAACAAATCAAACCACCCCAGGCTGGACGGTGATGGCTGGAAACCCCAGACTTTTGTGCATGGCAAGAGCAAGATGTCTGGTGACCCAGTACAGGACATAAAAGGATGCTAATGTTTTATTCTTTAGTAGACAAATATAACCGAATATTCACTAATGTGGGCAAGTTCAGGAAACGATCCAAAAGTTTCAATTACAGAACATCCTCAAGACATAGAGCTGGTGTTTCTTTCAAGTTTGAATAAACATTTACCAAACATTTCCACATTTGGGGGATAATATGTAAGACAAAAGTCCTGGGAGCAACAGCTGCTCTTACATCAAATGTGTCTTATATCAAATGTGTCTAAAATGATCCATAATTAGCAAATCAATCGTCTGCCAAGAAAGAAGTACTTCTAAAACAGATAAGGATGTCTAAAACCAGCTGCGTGTGGCAATACTCATATAGCATGACGCTTTCCACTCTGCCATGTGCCAGGGTCACACAGTGGCGATGAGACCCAACAACGCAGCTGGACAGGACACACTCTTGAACTGAAAACTGGGTTTCCGGCCTCCAGAGTCATCCCCCACAATGACCCCAGAATCCATTTGTACCATCGATTCTCTTATCAAATCCCCTCTTCATCAGTGAAGGAGGGATTCAGCAGCAGTCCAAACAGAGTGCAAATTCTAAGATGTGAAGAGTTAAAATTGACGGAGTTTTCCTTCAAAACAGAAAATGGGCTTCAGATTTCTGAAAGTCACTACCAAGGCTGGGCCCTTTAAGGCGTTTGCTACAAGCTAAACCTACTGAAAACCACAGTGACTTCATTAACAAGACATTAAAACTCAGTGGCAAAGTTTATTTACTAAAAAGATAGAAACAAAGAGTTAGATAATGAAGAAGATGTACTTATTCAAATAAGGAATAGGAAAACCTCTCTAAGCTGATTCACACCAACTTCTCAAATAGAACTCCAAACTGGTATCCAAATCCTCCAGGGTGCTTACCGTGTCTGTGTTGGCTGACGACGGGTAATGCCGGAGCGAGATCTAGCACCTAGGACACTTTCAACGTGTAACAAAAGTGTTTTGCACACATGGTTCCTATTAAAAGACCCTTACTTAAAGGATGGGAAAATGAGCCATCTTGTCATTAGCCCTGCCCTATTCCTCTGCCCTAAAAGCTTTTTTCACTGATCTCATCGCAGTGCCATCTCGAGGCACCTTGTGGCATGGCCACCACCACAGTGGGCATGGGAGGACATCTGGGACTAAGGTCTCAGAGCACCCTGTGTCGGCTGCTGGGTCTCATGTCCTTTATGTCCTGCAAAGCCTGGGTTCTGTCTGTGAATACAAAACTAACCAACTTCCTATGAGATGGAAGTTCCAGGGAGCTTAAAGGAAAGACTACACTTTGGAGGTACTAATTAGCTAGGAGAACAGACTCTGCCTCTGTAGAACCGGTATTAGTCACTGGGTCTAGAAGCTTTTGGGATCCTTCCCAATGTCTGAATAACGTCTAAACATAGTGCTGAGAAGATGTAACAACTAGAGAAATACGGCGTGTGATGTTCTATGCCAACAAGATGGCTACAACACAAATAAATAAATAAAATCTTTAAAAAAAAAAAAAAAAAAAAAGATGGCTACAACACACACTTGATATGCACCCAAGTATTCTGTCCGAAAACACAAAAATGGGGAATGGAGACAGATCAGTTAAAACACAAGAAAGACTAGAAGAATTTCAAAGGAAAGGAAAAAGAAAAAAATATATATACCTAAAACCTACATACACAGATGCCCCAGTGAGGAGCTTCTGGCAAAGTGACAGAGTGAAGTTTCACAAGGAAACTACAAGGGCACCAAGTCAAGGTGAGTATGAAAGTATGCAAAGCAGGGGCGACCTGCCAATACAGGCACTCCTTTATTTGGAACACAGTGTTTTCCCCACCTGCTTTATCAGACAATCAGTGACAGCAGCGTGGAGACCCTGAGTTATTCGAATTCCACACCAACTGAGCGGTACAAAGTTGACTTTAAGCAACAGATATTTTCTGCTTCTGTCCCTTGGGCAATCGAAAGGACGTGGCACCTAAGAACTTTCTCTCCTAAATTTCTCATTTTGCGAGAGGAAAAAAAAAAAAAACAAAAAAACAAGATCCCTCAAGAAAGTAGCTAATAGTAAACAGATTATTTCATTCTGTTCACTTGTATTCTTAGGAACTACTGTCAAAGTTTCTAAGTTCAAGATCAGGATGCCGACTTTAAACAGAGACATCTTCCGAGGGGACAGCTGGTAAGTGCCACACACTATGGATGGCTTAGTTTCACCTTGATGCCACATTCTAAGTATGTCCTCTCCTGAGGAAACAACTGATATCAGATATTTGCGAAAAAACACCAATTTTACTTTTAAAGATATATTTATTTATTTGAGAGAGAGGAGCAGAGAGAGAGGGGGAGAGACTCAAGCAGATTCCCTGCTGAGCGTGGAGCCTGATGCAGGGGGCTTCATCTCATGACCCTGGGATCATGACTTGAGCTGAAACCAACAGTCGGACACTTAACTGACTGTGCCACTCAGCCACCCCTTACTTCATTTTTTGATCATGTATATTCTCATTAAGGAGAAGTTATTATGGTTAAATTAAAAAAAAAAAAAAAGGCCAGCCAGCATGGGCCAGGCCAGTTGCCCCTTAAAAGAGACACATGATCTGCTTCTTGGTTCTGCCAATAACTGCCATGTATTACCTGACAAATTAGAGCATTTTTTGAATCCTCTTTCCTCGCTCAGGTGTAATGGTGTTGACTCTATTAGCTCATCTGGTCCTCACATTTTTAAAATGAGTTACTGCAAATGGAAAGTGTTTTGTTCAAACGTGAGTGATTTTCACAATCACACAACCAAGCCAGATTTCAGACGTAAACAGTATCTATCACTCACGACCCTGTGTTGCGCTACGACCATCACGTGGAGACGCCCAGACAGAGCACGAGATCCCAACCCTTGCTGAGTCTGCTATTTTGGGGTGGATTTCAGGAGGATAGACCTGTTACTGTTTGACAGTCACGTAACTGCTAAACAGGAAAACCACGATTTAGGGTCCGGATTCTTTTTGTAGACATGTAAGAAGTGCTCTCACTACAATTCCCTTAAGCCATGAGTGTGCTCATGGGAGTCACATGTGAGCCGAGAGACTGAACTGAGCAAGTGGTTATGTCTCACTCTGGGGTCAAACCCACTCAAGTTTTCTGAAGTTCTAAGTACACAGCCTTATTTCCCACAGTGTCGTCAATCAGAAGAGTGCTCCTGAGATCACTGGTATTCAGAAAAGCTCCCTCCATCTTCTTTGCAGGTCTCTAGACACTCAAAGGACTGGTGAGCCACGGGGGCTGGACAATTCAGGAAGCAAGTAGATAAGGATTTACTGAGTGTCCAATCAAGGCAGGTTGTAAGTGTGTGGGACACAGAAACATGTCCTTCCAGCTCCCTGGCAGGCATCTGAGGTGCTGGGACAGTTTGCTAGCATTTACTTGTTCAGGAACTAGTAGGAGAGGCATAACATGACTGCCTCCATTCACTGAGATCTTGCAGAGAGTGACACAATGAGAGGACAGGAAAGGGATGAAGACCAATGTGGTGTAGCACCTGTGTCCACATGCCAGGGACCAGGAACCCTCACTGACTGTCTCATTTAATTCTCTAAGAAATTGTGACCATATCCACCTCTATCTTACACACAAGGGCACTGAGGCTTGGAAGCTGAAAGAACCTGTCTGAAGTTGTGGAGTAAGGAAGAGCTGCTTCTAGCACTCGCCCATCTGCGTCTCCCAAGCCAACCCTGATCTCCCAACACCAGTCTGGTGGGTGCTGAATGCCACCAGGAAATGGCAGAGCCTTACACCCCTTCTTTTGACCACAGCAATGGGAACCAGTGACTTGAGAAATCCCTCAGGGAAAGGTCAGCGGAACAGGTCAGTTTCTGCATAGGTGGAAAAGGAGTCGGGAACCTACCAAGTGGCACCAGGATCTCAGCTGCCCCCAGGCTCAGCCATCACACCAGCAGTGGGATCTTCACCCTGTGTCATGGCCCGGGGACAAGCTCAATGAGAGCAACTCCTTGTCCTACGCCTGTCTTAGGCCGCACAGTGAGCCACACTCCTCTCTTTCCACATCCTCACTGTACCCCCAGACCCATCTGTTCAGCATTCTGAGGCTAGAGGCTTGGCTCACCTCCTTATGGGAATCTTTATGGGCTTCCAGAGTCTTCATAATGGTCAGCTCGGCGTAGTTTTTAAATCTTGCTGGCTGGTTCCTCAGAATTTCTCGTAAAACCCTCAGTGCTAGTGCTCGGATGGAATGCTGGAGTACAAGAGGAAAGGAAGACATTAGCAAATGCTACCCAGCACTTCAATGAGCCTGCCAGCTAGCAGCGCCAGGCAGGGCCAGGCACCCAGCCCTGGGCTTCCCTGGCACCTCACTGGCACCCTGACAGGTCACACCGCTTACGTGGCCCAGGCTGAGGGGCCGGCTCCATGAGGCAGGCGCAGGGCCCAGCACTTAGAGGGATCTGATGAAGGTTTCTGGAATGAGCCAAATAAGGACCAAATGAGACCAAATGAGGACGATACATCTAAGTTCATTATCCATCTCCTGGGGGGGGATTTCCAGATTTCCTGAGGCTCAGATATACAAAAGGCAAATTACCCTTCTGTAAAATGTATATAAGAGCAGGTGAAAAGCATCTAACCATTTCATCAACATGACCTGTAAGACTGTGGACTGAGAGAGTTGCAGCCCTGTCGTTACTCCCGACCTTCTGTGTGATGAGATCACGGGGAAAGGGAATGTGCACACGCCTCGAGCTGTCTGCGGCCTGAGTCTCACCACTTGGAGGAAAGCCATTTCAAACAGACTCCTAATCTCAGTAAAAGAAAATGGGGTTTACACCAAACAGAGCCAAAAAGTACATCCTGATCCTCCGCCGCTCATCTGTACAGTTCACACACCACATCAGTTCACACACGGACACACCATCCACCTGCCCTCTCTGTGACATCACTTTAGCTCCCAACAAAGCCCGACTAAGCAACGGGCTTCAGCAGCCAATACTCTGCTGCAGGGAAGTTAATTCAGCCCTTTCGTCACTCTCCTTCCACCAGTATACCAACCCATTAACCCCAAGCATCAGAAAGAAATCAGTCACCACGACACTCTGCAGCCCACGTGCACCCGTCTCCCAACAAAGTCACCACCAACAGGAACCTGAGCGTGACCTATACCGTGGGCAGTGTTGAGCCTCCACCGAATCCACCCAGTCCTGGCCCTGAGCTCTTCACCACACCTACTGCATTGCTGTTTCCGCCAGCCTACACAAAGCCTGGTACAGAGATGGATTTTTACTTCTAGAGTGTAATTCAGACAATTCCCAACGTTTACTGCTGTCTCCATGTAAGGGACCAACACACAGATGGGAGAGGGCAGGGCTCCGACTAGGCAGCTCCCTCCTGGCAGTCATCTACGTGGTGCCATGGGCGGGTTACAGACCTGGCATGGTACAAATGCCTTGTGGGCCACGTTTAAATGTCACAGCATGAAGAGGGTTTTTCGTTTTAAAAATAATAAAGAAGATAATAGAAACTAATCCACACTTTCAGAACTTGCTGCTTGACCAATAAAGACCACTGGAACTGCTCACATATGCAGGGCTGAACCTACACAGAACTTCATGGAAGGCAACATCTAGCAGGGTCTTTTAAAAAATGAACTTGTCTCCTTCTCAATTAACACACGAAACTTAACACTCATATAGAAAAAAGCTCATTGTAAAAAAAATTCCATGCTAACAAAGTTGTAAGAAATTCTATATAAGACAAAGTAACCTGAAGCAAGAACAAGTTTCCCTCAGGTCCTATAATCCTGATTACAATAAAAACCTGCATCTAATAAGCTAGGAACAGGGCCTATCTCTGACCAAAACATGACCTCACCAACTGCTGCTCAGAAAATATCTGAACAATGTTTTGATGTAAACAGTAGGCACAATACAGAAAGTAAAGCCGACACCACACTCAAGGAGAACAGGACGCCATAGCCTGTCCCCTGGGAAGGGGGGAAGCGTAAGGTCGAGGAAGGTGCCTCACGTCTTTGTCCCCGAGCGTCTCCAGCAGCAGGAGCAGGATGGTCTTGAAGTGCTCCTCCCACACGCCCAGGCTGTCCTCGCGCGTGATCTTGAGCAGCTCCAGCAGGGCGCCTTTCCGCTCCTCCACTCGCTCGTTGTGGTTGGACAGCTCTTTCAGAAGGTCAGCCACCAAGTCCGAATGGTCAATGGGCACTGGGGAGACACCGAGACAAGTCACATCCCAAGTCTCGTCCCAAGGGAACCCCCGGTGGCGGACATGCCCCCGGGGTTGCTCAGCTCCCCTCCGCCAGCTTCCCGCTCTCCCAGAGGCAGCTCCTCCGTCCCTGCCGCCGTGCCTTCCACCCTGAACCACCTCCCTCTACGATTTCTGCAGGCCACCTCCCCAGCTATGAAGACAGAGATGTGTGACCAGGTGGCAAGTACCGACAGCAGTGTCTTTACCCTTCCTTACCATCTTCTGCCCTCTCCTATTTCAGACAAACAGGGGGAGCCATCTAACAGTCTCTCCTCGATGGTCTTTCCCCCAAGTCTACCCCCACTGCAGCAGCCCTAAGTCAGGCCGCTGCCGGATGGTCCCCTCCTGCTGCCACAGCCACCGAAGCATGCATCTGATCCTCTCAGCATCACATCTGATCACCTCAGGGCCCTCCTCACTGTCACATCTGATCACCTCAGGGCCCTCCTCACATCACATCTGATCCTCTGACATCTCTTCCCTGCCCAAATGTCCAAAGCTTAGTAACCAGCGCAGCAAACAGATACTAGTCAAGATGTTTAGACTATTCATGGACTGTCTAGTCACAGACTAAACTCGCCAAGATCACTTAACAAAATTACTTGCAGGACTTCAACCAAAAAAGACATCCTTTCTCTTCCCATGTTCTTTCAAGACCTCAACTCTGAACATTCCCTTTCAATAGAAAGGATGAAAAGGCAAAGACAAATTATTAGACACTACTTAAATTTGATTTTGCATACTTTTTTTTTTTTTCCTTAAGGCATCTAAGGTAGGAGAACACACACACACACACACAGGAAGTTTGAAATGTTAAAGAACTCGATCTTTCCCCCTCTGCATTCTCACCTTTCTCTTTGAGCCTTTCAGCATACAGTCGGTGAATAGATAACAACCAACATCTACCCCAATCTCTGTTCTATCTTAAATGAGACCTACAAATGGGTTAAGTTAAATGAGCTATCAATTCTACGAGCAGTGAAAGGAAACAGCACCCTACTCCATGAAAGTATGATTCATAATAACCATCGTACCTGGCCTATGGCCCAGGAAACACCACTGGGATTCCTTGGGAATCTCTGGAGTGGCTACCCACTGGTGATCAGCAGATAACAGCCAGGGGATGTGCCTTCAAATGACTGAAGGACTTCATTGCTGTCTTAGGGTTCCATCACTGAGCCGTTGCAAGAGCACAGTTTTCCTCCTCCTCCTCCTTTTTTTTTTTTTTTTTTTTTTTTTTAAAGCAGGCTCTACACCCACCATGGGGCTTGAACTCACAACCCTGAGATTGAGTCGCACACTAAGCCGACTGAGCCAGGGAGTCAGCCAGCTGCCCCCCAGTCCTCCTTATGTGTCCCCAGTGAAACTAGCATCTGCGCTAGTGTGGCACCCCCCTCTTTCCAGGGCCATTGTGATAAGTCTGTTTCCCCTGACAGACCTTGAACTCTCTGAGGCCAGGGACAGTGTCTCATCTGCCACCTTGTCCCCAGCAAGCTACAAACTTCATGACACACAGGGAATGCTAACTGTTTAGACTTCTAATTTAGGATTCTGATTTAATTTTCCATTCAAAATAAAAACACAAAACAAACGGCTTGGGAACAGAGCAGATATATATAATCTCAAAAAAATGACTATGAAGTGAACATGACAATCAGGTGAAAAGGAAATAATTAAGCTCCTGATAAAAATACCATCATACCAACACATACTTCGCTCACTTATTACTCAATCATGGACACTGGTCTTAACACAAATGTGAGACAACAAAACAAGACAGCAGACTAGTTCTGTTCTGTGCCAAGTATAGTTGGGACAAGTAATTTAACCTTTCCAAACCCTTAGTTTCCTGATCTGTGAAATGGGAATAAGCCCTCTATCTCATTAGCCATATAGGTAAAACACTGAGTTCAGCAGCAAGCACGTGGTACAGGAGCTCAGTATATGCTAGCTTGCTTCGCTCCGAACACAGGACAGAAGTCAACCCAAAGCAGCTTCAAGGAAGACCTGGTTAAAACGCTGGTGACAGAAGGGAGCTTCTCAGTGGTTGTACTTCCATACAGGATCCTACTTCCCTAGCTCAGGGCTGGGAGAGTGCACAGCAGGGGCCTCTACCCCCCAACAGTAGTAGCTAACTGCTACTGCCTTCGTGCTTCTGATTCCACTCAAGCCCTGGCTCCTCCGGGGAGCCCTCCCTCATGGGCACAGCTGACCTGCCTTCACCACAGTGGGATAGCTCCAAGTTTAGGTCAGCTGTGTGACTCCTACTTCACAACTGCCTCTGTGAGAAGGCTGTAAGCTTCCGGAGGGCAGACCCCGTGCCTTCCATGGCTAAGCTGTGCCTTCCATGGCTAAGCACAAGACAGGAGCTCAGTGAGGAGCTGCTGAGCGAGCAACTAACCAGAACAGACCCCGTATGTCCTGTAGGCCTGGAGCTGCTCTGACAAGAGGAGAGAGCCCCACAGAAAGTATTTTGGATTAGGGTCCAAGGGCGGGGGGGAATCACGCAAAGAAAGACGAACCATCTCGAAGCTGCTCCATGTCATCATCAAACACGGCCTCCTTCAGGGCTGTCTTGTCATAGGTGTTGATGGTGTCGGAGTACGGGTACGGATTGTAGTCTCGCACCCGGGGCCCTGGGAAGGCGCGGGGAGGCTGGGTGTTGAGAAGGGACGTCTTGTTATCCAGAGCTGTTCTGCCTCCCTCCACCACATCGCTGCCGCCCCGGCCTTCAGTGGCAGGCGAGGCAACTCCACCATCACGGGACACCTGCAGCACAGCACATGGTCATTTCCTGTTTAGGACTTTAAACAAACTCTTCCTTCCACTTTTCAGAATATTAGGAGAGTCAGATTTCGCACGTGAATTCTGGCCACTAACCAAAGGATAGTTACTAGGATTTCAATCTGCAAACATCTAATTCATAAACTACCTTAACGGGAACCCAACAGGCTTACTTTTTCACCCCTTCATTCACTCATTTACACGTAAAGTGTGTTTTACTTTGTACTTGGTGATGACTTTTACTCGAACACTTCTCCAGGAATCCCGTGTGTCGGCACTGCTGCCCACCATTTCTTCATGAACAGCAGGGTTTCCTCAGCGATGCCCTGACACACCACCAAGCTAGTGCTTCCCCGATTACCACCACAGATCTAAAGCAGCCCAACCCTCCAGGATATCCTGGCATGTATCCCCCCAAAGCCAAACAACGCTTACTAATCTCTAGCACTGGAGAACTTTCTAGCTGGGAGGCAGGTCACCCCCTGGACACCTGTGACTCTCAGCTGGGCTTTATGCTGAGTCAAAGAACAGGCTTTGTGGCTGTTTCCTGAAACTTTTTCTTCCTAACATATACTGAGACTTGTCCTTAACAAATCAAACCCCTGGGTCCTTTGGTCCTTGTGTCATGTTCCTGATGACCCCCTCTCTCCCAGGGGGTCCTTTCTCCGACGAGCCCCGGCCTGTCTGGTTTCCTTTGCAGGGCGTCACTATAACCCAACTAGCATGGACAGACCACCAGGAACAAACCCTCACTCTCCTCACTCCTGCCATAGGACTGTGTGACGATGCTGGAGCTGTCTCCAGGCGGCGGGACACACTGGGACTCCTGTGGCACATGTCTGACTTGTGCTTCTAACAAGATACAGCTCTTGCACCTTGTGCTTAAGCATTTTTAAAAAGTATGGCAAAAAAGCCAGTTTAAAATTGTGGCAAAATATACGTAGATCATTTTAATCATTTATATTATAGGTGTACAATGCAATGACATTAAGGACAGTCACAATGCTGTATAACCATGACGACTACATTATCTGTTAGGCAAACCTTCTGGTCTTCCCAAACCAAAATTCTGCACCTATTAAACAATAACTCCCTGCCATCCCTGGCCCGGGTTACCTCTATTCTACTTTCTGTCTCTGAATCTGACTACTCGAGGTACCTCATGGAAGTGGACTCATACAGTATCTGCATACATCACTATGTCACTTCGCCTAATCAAGGTCCATTCGTGTTGTAACATGTGTCAATATCACTTTCCTTTTTATGGCTGAATAATACTCCACGGGACGCATCTATCACATTCTGCTTATCCATTTATCTGTTGGATATTTGGCTGCTTCTCCACCGTCTGGTTACTGTGAATGATGCTATTATGGACACTGGGGTACAAGTATCTGTTCCAGTCCCTTGTTTTAATTCTTTTGAACATATACAATTCTTTTGAACATATATATATATAACAGATGCTGGAATGCATCTGGTTTTTAACACCATCAAAAAAGATGTCCTACTAAGTGTTAAGATGTAAAAAGGATATACAACACATGGGCAGACCTGAATAAAATAAGACTTTGGACTTTTTTCATGATAGGGAAATGATTCATGGATGATTTAATTTTTTTCTCCTTGTAACTCTCTTCTCAAAGTAAAACACATATTATTATTATAACGAAAGAACTTAGAAAAGGAGAAAGGGTTTAAAAAACTTAAGACATTTCTGAAATAAAACTAAACCATCCTAATTCTAATCACTTTTAACAAAAAGTAAAACGAAAGATCTTACTTTTTAAACTTGTGTATTATCCCTGTCCTTGTCTTCTCGCAGATTGTACGAGATGGGAATCACAGAGTACGCACGACCATATATTTTGCTTTCCTCGCAGTATAAGAATGTCCCACATAAATAGTGTTTGTAACCACAGTGTTTACTCATACCACTATTTCCATTTGCGTTCCAGTAAGATTTACTCAACTATTCCCCCTCTGTTTTTTAATATTTCTGGCTTTCATTACAGATAATGCTGAGATAAACTGCACTGTAGATAATAACTTTCTTTCCTTTTGCTGAGTTTCTCGTCTAGCTTAGATTGCCAGAAGTTAGATTACTGGGTAAAGGATATGAAACTTAAAATCACTTAGGCTGAGGGGTGCCTGGGTGGTTCCGTTGGTTAAGTGTCTGACTCTTGGTTTTGGCTCAGGTCATTATCTTAGTTAGGGTCATGAGATCAAGCCTCATGTTGGGCTCCAAGCTGAGCGTGGAACATGCTTAAGATTCTCTCTCCCTGCCCCTTCACCCCCTAACACCCCCCTACCACCACTCACACGCTCTGTCTCTCTTTAAGATATGTATGTACGTATGTATGTATGTATGTATGTGTATATATATATCAATATCACTTAGGCTAAATGTAATTTACTAAGCTCCAAAGCAACTGTATCAAGTTTCCATGCCACCAATATTATACTAGTTCCCTATATCCTTTCTAGCATTAAATATTTTAATTTCTCTTTGAAACAAAGTGGAACAATTTAGACATAAAATGGAACCTCAAAGGGTTTATTGTATTTCTGTAATCACTCATAAGGATGGACTTTCTCCCACATGTTGAATGTTCTCATCTCTGCTTTTGGGAACCATTTTCCCAGTGGATCTGACTTTCATCCTTATGGATGTCTGTCTTATTAGACTGAGGCACTTATCAAGCCAAAAAGACATACCAGTTCCCAAATCTTTCACGCGTAATGCATTTTTATATCCCCTCCAGCTTCTTCGCTAACACTCTGGTCATCAAGCAGCTAAGATGCTGAATTTTGAACCTGCTCAATAATTCAATTTCCACTTTATCATATTTAATGCAGATAGAAAAAAAAAATCCAGTGGAGCCCTTTCACTCCACAACTGACTGGTCCCTCTTTTTGGCTAGAATGTCCTTCCCAAAAGTTTCCCTTAAATTCTCGGACACCACACTATCCTGGCCTCCCACACAATAACCTATAGCTTTCCTTCCAACTCCTTTTCTTCCGTTTTTCCCTTAGTGTTGATGCTCCTTAGGATTTTGTCCTTACCCTTTAATGGGTCGCTTTCACTCACTTTTTAGTTATCATCAAGCAACTTGTCAATGCCTCTCAAATCTCTATCCCCAGCCTGAACGGCCAACCAAAACTCCAGACTGCTTTCTGCAAAGGCCTACGGGATATGCATGCTCAGATATTCCACAGGTCCCTCAAGTCACATGTATTCAAAACTGAATTCATTATGTTCTAAAGGGACTGACAAATGTTCTTCCTCTCTTTCTAGAATATTAACTCCCTGAACTGCCCCAGCACTTTAGAGTCCTAGGCAGAGACTTCTGACTCTAGTATTTCAGCGCATGCCCTACCCAACCCTACGTCCTCCAGAGTCCTCCTCCATCTCAAAGTGACAGCATTCTTTCTAAAATATAAGTGTGACCATGCCATTTCCCTGGTTAAAAATCCTATAAAGACTCTCCAGTGACCTCAGAGTAAAGTTAAGACATGGCAGAAAAGTCCCCTGGGTGTGAGTGCCCTTCCTCAGCCAACCGATGCAGCCTCTTCCCCAAACCTTGCCACCAACACGATACGCCTGCTCTCTCTACTTCAGCCACCTGCAAAGGGAAATCATGCCAAACACAAGGGCCCCCTCCTATCTGTCCAAACTCCCTCTGACCCTTTGCTTCACGCAGCTCCGAGGCTCCCAGTGACCTTTCCTGAGCACCAAGACTGCCCCAGTGTATCTCTCCAGTGCTGAGCGCTGGCTACTCCCCACCGCACCATGATTTCCCACTGATCTGCCTGCCTCTGCGTGAGACTAGAGCTCCCAGAAAGCCATGCTGGTGTCCGATTCTGACCTATTATTTTGATCATGTCATAAGAACAAAAATATGTCCAGGATAAACAAAATCAAACTGGGGAGAAAAAGGTAGTTTACATTTTTCACAGACAGCTGAGGGTTACTCAAAATTTTATAAAGTTGCCTTGGGCCTCTTAAAATAGTATTATTCTAACTACAAGATAAAGTTCCGTATTCATAGTGGTCAATCTTCAGAATTATCACTTAATTGAAGTATCATTCTCTGCTGGCCTGGGGATACTTACAATATCACAGTCCTTCTTGCCATCTCGTTTAATTGGCTCATTCAGATCCTCTTGGCTTCGAAAACTAAACTTTTCAATGGCTTCCGTAACTCCACGCAGAGAACTATAAATTTCTTCAGAGTTCAGGTTCTCTGTATCATACTCCAGCATGCTAAAGATCAAAAACAGTGTATTTCTTAAACTGAAGCATATGAACAAATCTGAGCTATGGGCATAAATTACTTCTGATGGTTTATGGAGTAAGAGGTGATTATTGTTTTGTATCTTTAGGTGACTTGGAATGAAAAGGAGACACCTTCTGTTAGGGCACCACCACTGGACAATTGTTCTTTGTCAACCCAGGCCCCAAATGCACTACATCGGCACTCGGTAAGAACCAGTGGGGAACAGCAATAACCACGAGAATGCAACAACTCAAAGGGTGACAACTGGTGACAATGCACGAGGTAATGAAAGTGGAAAAATAACTTTCATATCTTGAAGATGGAAACAAGGAGTCTGGTTGTTACTGGTCTCAAATGTACAAACAGATTACGAGGAACAGGCATTTCAAACTAAAGCTAGTATTACAAGCCAGTTTCAGAGGAGCAAAGCAAATGACCTCATAAAGACGGGGTTATGCTTGGTATTAGAAACTTGTGAAATAAAACCCTACATTCTAAAACCATTCCAAATCAGATCCACCCTACCGGAGGGCTCCCGACCACCTCTCCTGCCATCTAACCCAGGCGCTTGCTGTGAATACCAACTCTTCCAACATGCTTTTGTTTATGTGTTTTAGAATAAAAACATCTTTTACAGAAGAGTCACATTCCTAGATGGATGTCTGCAAGTATTTCAAAAAATAAGAAATATTTGTCCCTTACAGAAAAGTGATGTTAACTCTTGTTCCTTCAGTAGCTACACAGAGCAAAACATGAAACAGAGCAAAAGTCCCCAAGAGCCTTCGGGTGTAATGCGGTGTGTCGACAAGTAGGCTTTAGAGATCTGGAAAAGTGTGCCGAACAGGTCCTGAGAATAAAATCCACCACGGTCCCTCACTGAGAGTATCACAGACAAGCAGAGGACAAAGCATAGTATAAAGCAAGACGAGAAGCAACAGTCGACCAAGGACAAGTTAAAAAAGCCCCGTGATAGTTTAAGTATCACTTGTTTTAAGAAAATGTCAAAAGAAGATCAGGTTAGTCAGTCTGATGGAACTTACAGGAAGTCTTGAGCTATCCTGAGGATGCCTCGGGGACACTCAAGAGTCCCTGGCTGTACATAAACAAGCATTTGACAACACTATAAAGACTAAAGAAAAGCACTCTTGCCATCTTCAAGAGAAGGAACTGAACCCAGATACTCGCAGGCAGGAACCTCTCTTCTGGGCAACATAGCCAATCCTGTATGTTCTCACAAGAGGTTAAGTCTCCTGTAACTTAAAAACAAGTAATACTTACTAAGCCCACTCCCCACCTTTTCTTCTCTTTTTTAAAAGGTTTGGGTAGATGAACAAGACAAGATTTGCACAGTTCTCCCTTGAGTGTAGCCAGACCTCTACTGGCTGAGGCTGTAATGATCCAAGTGTTTTCCAAGGCTGACCAGGTTCTGCTGGGGCACAGCATCTGAACTCACCCTTCAGAGATGGGAGCTATTTACCACAATTTCAACACTCGCCCAGATAGCACCCATTCTTCTTCTGTGATGAATGAAAGAAAATCCATGCTCCAACTGTACTTGGAGAGTTCACAAAAATACACGCCAACTCAAAGACTGGCTCTGGCATCAAACACAAAAGAAATGTGAATGAACACGTTCACAGCTAAAATTCCATGTGTATACTGACAGGAGGTGGAATAAAACACTTGAACAGAATTCAAGATTTCAACCCCTGCTAAGTTCATAAGGTTATCTGTCCATGAGGCAACATCCCTTTAATATGAAGAAAGCATGAGAAGCACCACAGCTCCCGGCCCGCCTTTCTAGAACACCACAATACCAGCTTATGTGGGAACAAAGGCATTTATACATCTGGCCAGTACACTATTTTTTATATATAAAAACGGAGTATGATACGAACAAAAATATGCATACGAGATGTAAAAAGATGCCTTAAAATACTTTTAATCACAACAACCAAAAATAACAGCATAGCCCATGCAAAAGGAAAGGAAAAAAAAAAAAACAGAAAGAATGAAAGATGGAAAAGAGAAAAACTTTAGCATTACAGTAGCCCTTTTCAAAATAATAAAAGGATCCTGCCAGTTAATGTTCCTCCTTCTTACTTTCAATTAACAATGAGGAGTACATGTGCACGACCCAGTGTAACCGGTGGTGACACTTCCTTTGGACTCACTAGCTTGAGGTCTGAAGTATCTCCTTGGTACGAAGCTAAAACCGTGAGCTCCAGGTGAGAGACAGCATCGTTTTTTTTCTAATACGAAACAGGTAATGCTACGTTCTTTGCTAGTTTAATGTCCTGGCATTTGTTTTTTTTCCCAAATCAGTGCTCATGAGCCCTCATTTTTTAGGGGGAAAAAGGAAATTCCTATGAAAGCAGTCACTGGGGATCACCAATGCCGTGCTCCCGGGCAGCGGAACGTAAGGGAGCACAGCAAGAGGAATGCGGCGACTTTACCTATCGGAAGAGGCTTGCTTAGGGACACCCCGGTCTGTAACTTCCCTCCATACTGTCTTGCTTTAGCTCAGAGACATAAACCTTTAGGTTAAAGGCCGCTCCTGGCCTTCTATAAACACTGCAATTAGATCCCAGAAAGGTTTCCTTAGAATTCTTTAGATTAGGAAGAGTTGCTCAATCAGTCAATAGTCACCAACCCAAGGTCAGCCACGTTATTCAATACTGAGGCAGAACAGAGCTCTGCACTTGCCCCGTTGTAATGGGTCCATATCGTGGATGGGGAGGTGCATGAGGTCAGCTCTCCAAGAATGGAGACAGTGGAGACAGGAAGTTTGCCTTCTGAGATTTTCCTCTTTGTCATTTCATAGGGAAAAGATACCAGAAATGGAATTAGGATATATTCATTCCTTGTTAGGCAATCAATACAGTTTTGGCAGAAAGCAAAAGAGATAAAGATTTCCTCTTATTTGTAGGTAACTGATGGGTTTTTCTAAATGTAAAAGTCTCTAGTCAATGTTCTTTCCCTCCAATGGTCAACAGAAGTCATAGGTACTTATTAGCATTAGCAGTGTTATAGTGCATATGTGAAAGATGATTCTGGAAATGAGGTGCCCACCAGAAGGGGATCTTGATGGCTGGATGGGAAAGAGTGGCTGGCAGTGAGGCTTGGTGCCCGTTAGGGCATGCAGACAGGTCAGTGTACTGGAACACAGTCAATAAATGGGACTTCTACTTTGAAGCATGGCTAACCTTAAAAAAAAAAGTTTGCTTTATTAACATTGACGACAGCAGCTGTCACATTGTTGCTGCTGTCACATTGTTGCTGTGTCCTTGCCCTAACCTTGTGTATCTAGAAACAGTCATTACAGGATTCTCTGTACACTTGAGAAGCTACTTTTAAAGCTCTAAGAGTTTCGAAAGAAAGATGTTGTTAAAACATGTGGCTGACTCTGTTAATAATGCACAGCTTCGCTGAGTTGAGGACACAAAAGTAGGAATGTAAATCTGTGCAAAAGCTATCTATGAGGCATTCAGAATTAACAGACCTTTTTCAGTTCTGTTTTTACTCTAACCTATCAGCAGGTACAAACTCCTCTTACACAGCACAAAGACAGCTGGCCTGCCCCATGCTCTGCTCATGCGATGGCAGCCTGCTAGGGAAGGGGGCCTTGGACCTTTAGACCTTCGTAATAACGCCTAAGGGACCCTCAAACAGATATCTGTAGAAATCCGTGGCCCGTACTTTGTCCCACCGATTTGCCATCTGTTTTAAATCTGAAGGAACTCCCACCCCTTCTAGACTCATTAACCTCATCACCTACAACCAGGGGCTTGTGAGAATACCGACTGCTCTCCTGCCTAGAGGCAGGGCACGTCAATGAGACGCAGCAGTGAATGCACTTCTTGGGCCTCCCTTCAGGATCTGGGTCCTCCGACTCTTGCCACACGGCAGTACATCATGCAAGAAATCAGTCCACATCATCAACGGCAGGACTGAATGCAACACATATGGTCTGGGAAAGAGCAGGTCTCATTTGCTTCTCAGCGGGTATGCCTTGTCCTCCTGAGAAGAACACGAAGGAAACCATGCCCCTCTGGCCTGCCTTGACTTCAGGGCATTGCCCCAGCGCCTTTGTGGGGGCTCCGCTCTGCCTGGGCCTGCTACAGTAGGTGCCGCTGGATTTGGGCAGCTGGTGAAATGGTCATCTGTCCCTGTGACACAGCAGGAGCCATACTCATGCAGGTCGACAGAGCTCATGCACCTGCTCACACTTCTCACCAAGGCTCTACTCCTGCTCATCTAAGCCAAAGGCTTTCGGAAGACCTGAGACGACCCTGGAAATGCAATAATATTGTGACACCTCAGACAAGGTAAACAGGTAGCTTGTTACCTGGGAGAGTAAGAGCGCCTGAGAGTCTTGTGGGAGGGAGCGGTGGGAATGGAGTTGGGCTGAGAAAAGGGAGGTGGGTGCTTCGATAGGCCATCGGCACTCCAACCCCACAACCGACTGCAGTGATCAGAAGAGGAGAGTCAGAGAGAGACATAACAAGGCAACGGGGAGGGGAGATAGGAGGGGACTGGGAGACGCAACGTCCAATGTGTCTTCCAATCTCCTCTTTCCTTGACCAAGCTCTGTCAAAGCTGACTGGAGCAAAATTTATACTTCACCAGAGAAAATGCACAAAGTTTGTTTTACAGTTTGGCCCTCAATAAGGCTGCATTATTCCTTCCCGTCTCAATCATGTGCTACATTTTTAAATCATGAGATTCCAAGTGTAAGAGTGTGTGTGTGTGTTTGTGTGTGTCCACACTGGGAAGGATACCACGAGTACTTCTATACAAATATGCATGACTCTTCTGTCTCAGATAATGCAATCAATTGTTTTACAAAGAGCCAAAGAAGGAACGTCAGGCCTGAATTCCAACGGGATCCGAGGGACGACAGCAGGAAGACTCAGAGAACATGCCTTTCTGACCACAGCCCTGAAGCAGGGGATGATGTGCTCCCTGAGGCCAGGACCCGATCAGGGGCTGCCACGGGCAATTTCCTTATGAAAAAGCCCACCAGAGGGCTAGAGCGCCAGGTCTCCAAAAAGCCCCAATTCCCTGCTCACATCACCTAATATGAGAAATAAAACTCATCTGAGAACACCAGCATCCCTCCTCACTCCATAAATGTCACTGAGAAGCCTGGGCCTGCAGAGACCCGGGCAGACACTTCTAACAGCTGCTATAATTCAGAAGGGCCACAGCTACTGCAAGAGGCGTGAGCCAACTGGGCAGGAAATGTGACCTAAGGCCCGGGGTGGAGTTGTGGCATCAGAGACCACATTCTCAGGGAGCAGCACTGCCTGAGGCCAGCCATCATCCTGGTCCCATGAGCTTGTCTCTGCCAAAGACAGCTGTGGTCTCTTCTTGTGAGGTCAGTAAGTGTGGAGACGAGAGGTCACCACGGCATCCGAGGGCGCACAGACCTTCTCTGAGTCCCACACTGAGTTGGGGTGAGGTAACGGGAGGTAATCGGGCAGCCATCTAGGCTGGAGCTCTGCTGACAGGTAGCATAAGCAGATGTACCACCATCTCCCACTGCTGATGGGAGGCTGATCTCCCAGTTAATCCCCACTTCGCTTCTATGGAAAATCTTGACCCTCCAATGCAATGGACTGTAAAATCCACCTAAAATCACCCTTTATTACTAGGGGGACCAGGTGATCTATTTAGTGTTATTCTGCTCTACAACACGTTTGCCAAGAATACACAGCAGATGGGGGCGAGAACTGTCTACTTTCTGATCTCAAAGGGAATGGACATCATGCGATTTCTGAAGCCCCTTGAAACTCTGTGTTTCATTTAACACAAATCACACTGGGTAAAATGAGCTAAAAAACACATATGTGTTTAATGATGAAAAACTCCAGGTTACAAATCTCCTCTCTAAATACCCAGTAGTATTTGTTTACTAGCTGGGAATAAGGAGTAATTCTTCCCTCACACACACACAAAGCAATTAATGGGATGTTCTACAAAGATTTAACATGCTATGATTTTCTCTTAAGGTTATTGGGTTGATAAAAACAACTTTCTCCCTAGGGTTCTTTTCTACTATCAAATTAGATTTGCTTATCATTTTAGAATATTTCCTTATTAACACACCACAATCTGAGTGTAGAGTTTCTGGACTATAAAAACACTAGTTCGTTTTGATACAAAAAATTAGATTGAAAAGAAACAACTGGTAACAACTTTTCCCCTTAAGAATAAAAAATTAAAAAAAAATTAAAAAAAAAAGAATAAAAAATTAACATATGTTTAAGATGATTTGAAAGAATGACAGCTCACAGAATGTAACTGCTTCAAGAGCACTGCTGAGAAAAACCTCTGAGATTATACGTGGTGGCACTTGTCTATCGTCTCCTCAGGAATGGGGTAGTAACCTACTCCATTCTCCTATCTAGTACAAGAGTTCATAGCTTTTATAACTTTCCTGGTGAAAGTATGTGGCCTACCTGAATACTCCCATTGATATAATGACAGGAGGCAATTCTTCCTACTTCTTTAGTTTTAGTTGTGAGAAAAATCACTTCTCCTGAGTTCAATTAAGTTGTTGACTAAGGCCATTTGGGTAGATATGCCCTGAGGGCACATTCGTTTAAAAAACAGAGAGACCATAAAATTAAATAATTCCCTAAAGCCAAATTCGTTGGCAAGAAAACAGGTCACACTTGGCCTTATTCTTGAAAATGGTATTAATATTAAAAATAAACCTCTTTATTTCTTCCACTGACCAGTAACCCTGACAGTAAAAGTTAAGACCAGACCAACTAAAAATAAATGGTGATTGGAAAAATAAATTTTTTAATAATCTGGGGATCAAGTGAAGATTAATACTGAGCCAATTCTTAGCACTGATGGATTATGCTAGTGGTCTCCACCAGTCTTTTCCTTAGACTAGCAGCACAGAGAGCAATCAAAGTCTTGAGTTTTACCTTTTGCTTATTACTTAAGGAATGTGCCACCCTAATAATGAAATAACCAAAAGATAAGAAGTACAAACTGTATATTATGGAAGAGTAGATTTCTCAATTAATGGTGCAGAAGTATTACTTCTAGACAAAAGCAACTATTTACAGAGTATTCAAGTTTTCCACAAAATCCTTCCCCTGCCCTCCACCCCAAGAAAGAGAACTCTGATTTTACTGTTAACATTGGACCCTATAAAGTATATACTTTAGATACAGTTATTAACACGAAAAACAATAGTTCATTGAGCCTCAGTTACACCTATTTTTCATTCGCTCCTGATCTCAACTATCTAATTATAATAGCCTGCTAACAGCCTCATGACAACACAGACCAAACTTGGAGACGTGACATCATTCTATCCAAATATATAGTACCAATGGGATTTAGGAGGACTAGAAATAAGGCAATATAAGCAGTAGCATATTATAAGTATACAACATATTTTGTTTTACCAATAGAAAAACACAAATTTGACATGTTCCAAATATTTATATGACAATTTGAAGAACTGAAGAGAACTTTATTGGTAAGAATGGATGATTTGGGGAAACTCTTGATCATTTAAAAATCTAAAATAAATTTAAAGGCATTTATATTTTCTTATCATCTTGGTGTCAACAACCCTTAAGACACAGCCGCTTGATCCCTGTAGCCAGGAATCGCAAAGCTCTGGACTTCTGGTAAACAAACATAGCATGTATCACCCTCACAGGTCCAGGGACTAAGAAGTCTGGCCTCTAGGGCCACTACTCTATGTGAGGCCACTCCAAAACATGCCAAGGGGTCACCTGCAGAGACTTCCAAGGGCTGTGGGCAGATGGGGAAGTCTAAAGATTCCGAGATAAACCATTTTTGTTATTTTAAGTCACTGTCTCAGACTCTATAAACCAGTGTTTACATGGTCCCCATGGAAGTCTGAAAGTGCTGATCCAATTTTAGCTCTCAGGTTCTTAATACCTCTCCGGAGCAGCAGTCTGCTTCAAACGTGAGCCCATGATGACAGCAACTATGCTTGGAACAGCTGCTTGGTTGGAGAACTACCCCAGGCTATGTGTGGACTATTTTATTTAGATGACAAATACCTTCAGGTGTTCCTAGCACTTATAGAATAGGTGATGAATTTCTAAATGGTTTGTATATGCAACAGTAATAAACGTAAATATAGCTTTAAAATTTTAAGATACTAGGGAGTGCTCAGAGCCGGAAGAATCTCTGAGAACATTCAGCACAAATTGGCCATTTTGCCATACACAGTTAAGATCTGGGTGAGGACTAGAACCCATGGTCTCCTAATACCCATCCATTTTTTGGTATTAAGCTTGGTCTAAAATCCTAGAAATAGGCTGGACAGACACTTGGATGCTTTGGTTTCTTCACTTTTGTTGAAATGGCATTACCTGGGAGATAGGCCCCCATGGGAACAGTTGGTGGGTGAGGTCAGGGGGCTGGTCCTGCTGCTGGTGTGTCGGGAGGGAGTTCGGCCAATTGTATTGCTCGGAGAGCCCTGGTGTGAAAAAGAATAAGCATCATTTATTTGAGAGCTAAACACAGAGTATAGCGCCCCCTTTCCCTTAGGTTTTCTTCTTCCTTTTTTTTTTTTTTTTTTTAAGACTGATTGATTGATCGATTGATTTTAGAGAGCAAGAGCGAGAACATGAGCAGGAAGGGCAGAGGGAGAGGGAAAGAGAATCCCAAGCCGACTCATGACCATTACATCACGACCTGAATGAAACCCAGTCAGATGCTCAACTGTCTGTGCCACCCAGGTGTACCCCCCTTAGCTTTTTAACAACCACATGTAAATAAAAGGGCAAAGGTGGCACAATTGGGGTGACTTTTTTTTTTTTTTTTTTTAGGAATCATTAAGGCCAACTTTAAGTGCAAATACACCCAAAATGGCTGTCACATAGGGGTTTCTGAAGCTGAATGACTGATGTCAGCTGTGCTAGAGTGACAGACACAAACCGAGAACTTCCACCTTTACATACAAAGAAAGTAAGTAATTGTATGTAATTTACATACAAAGAAAGTAACTAATGAATAAAGGAGTAAGTGACCAAGTAAAAATTAACTGATTAAAGAACCTCATGTAAGAAAAAAGTCATATTTAAATACTAAGTTCATTCATTCCCTGGGAACACTGCAGTATCAGACACGGCCCCCACCCTCCAGATGCCCAAAGTCTACTAAAAGAGAACAAGAAAGCTGGCCCTTTTCTCAGGGCATGTCCAGACCAGGGATTAGCAGAGGTCATGATCGGTACAGAGGTACCAACTGTGACCGAGCACTCACCACACTGGTGTTACTAGCGTTCTTGAGGTGGTTATGCAGGAGTTTGGTGGCACCATCCTGGAATGTTTTTGGCAAGGCACCAAGTAACATGGTAAATTCAGGAGTGTTCAATTCAAACAGAGAGATCAGCACAATTTGTGCTGCCTGGAAAAAGAACGCTTGATTAATTTATGTAACAGACAACAGCATATTTTGGTCAAAACTTTCATTAAAATTATTTTACAAAAATGTTTTGTTGAGTAAAATAAATGAAAACAAAACAAAACAAAACAAAGAGGACACCTTTGTCATAAAAAACACAAACAAAAGGCATCTGGAGAAAATAAGATCATCAATTATAAATAGCCTGATTTCAATCTGGAAAATGGGCCCCAGTTTCATCTTCACATCCTGGCCCTGGGTTTTCACAGCATGCCCGTAATAAATGACTCTTCCTGTGTCGTCCAGCACTAGGCACAAAGCTGGTAAATCCATAAATGAAACAATTCAAGAGCGTGAAAAGGCTGATGATGGTTCACTCTAAGTCAGAACCGGACGGATGGGGTTCCCAGCGCATCCTGGGAGAACAAAGCTCTCTAAGAGCTGCCAAGGGGTTATCTGAGCAGCCACTTTTCTTCAAGCCAGCTCCGAGGGACTGAGACATTTTAGAAAAAGAGTTTAAATAATACATCCAAAAAACTCCTACTATTAGACCTATGAAGTAAGGAGACGGTCCATGGGAAGCAAACCAGACTTCTACTCTACAAATGAAAAAGTACTCTTCCTGTGTTTTGGGAAATGCTCTAACTTCTCTTTATTAATTGAGACAATACATTGCAGGACTGCTGGTGGTCCCTGAGGCAGCGAGAAGGGAAAGCAGTTAGCTGAAGCGACAGTAGCCCAATGAGACTCAGGTTTCTCCAGCCAGGTATGGGCTTTCTGTGGTACTAAACAGCAGCAGGCACTCTGAGATTAAAAAATGCCTGAGGACTCAGAAAAACCATGCCAGAGAAAACTTCAGTAAATAATGGCATTTCTTACAAATTTCTGAGAGTCAGAAGAAAGAAAAACACACTACGAACATCTCCTGACTGAAAGGATACATTTATCTGTCCACAACACTCTTATTTTAGGATTGCAGTAATTATTCTGAGTATTTTTTTCCCATGATATAAGGTATTACAAAAGATATATTCACTTAGAAACGCTCTGGAAACAAACACCACAAAATATTTCAATGCTTTCACAATGTTAAAGTTAATTCTGGATCCAGGTAAGGCAAAACTATTATTTTTGTCTGGAGAAGGAAAAAAAAAAGAAAATCCAGAGACCCAAATGTATTTAACCAAAAATAAAAATTAATCATGAACTTTAAAATATCAGAAGAGTATTTTTTACGGCATCAAAAACTACTTTTTAGACATATCAAACGCATTTATTAAGCATAGCATTGGGCAAAAGTATCTTCCTTTTTCCCCTTGACCTCCAAATATAGTCATTAGTAGCCTTTCCAACCAATTTAAGTCCCAAGGGGCCTGTGTGCTTTCATGACAGAGGCAAAACACATTGTTATTGACGGTGTTAAAATATACATTTTTACATTTTATTATTGAAACATTCTTAAGTTATCTGAAGGAATCTACTTCACCACCAATGTAATATATATTAACATGATCTGTACATTTGCAGAGAAGCAAATTCCAAAATGCATGCAAGGTAATCTGTGCATTTAAAAAAGCATTTTATTAGATGTTAGGGAAAAAATGCACACAGGAAAAACTGCACTTCAAAGAGACAGAAAGAAACAGACTTGAGTTTTAGCAGGGAGAAAAAATGTTCCCAATTTAGTAAGAAAGTTTAGGGACTTCTTTTTTAATGATTGACGATGACATTTGAAAATTATGTAATGTTTCAGTATAGTTTTGAATAGTATATTTTTATGTGAAATGTGCCACTGTCTTTACTTAGAAAACCACATTTCTTCCCAGAATGACAGAATATCTAAAACCACAAATTAAAACTTGAGGTTTTTCATGAAACAAATTATAAAATTAGTGGGATCTTTTAGGAACAAGAGGGCTGCCTAGAAATTGTGCTAATTCATGGCTACGTGCTATTAATGACTCTTAGTCATGCGGGAAAAGAAGTGCAGCAAACTTTAACTTCTGGCCCACTAAAGAAACTTCTCTTTCAATGACCTTAATGTTGAATTTTGATAAAAAATCGAACAGAAAGACAGGGAATTTTGAAAATATAGCTAGTTGGAAAGATGGCACATTTGCTGTGACTTATACATATAAATGAATATAATTTATTTTTACATTTTCCAAAATACAAAAGATTTTATACAGTCTTCAAAAGTCACCCTTTGATTTTAACACTGTTTTCAGTGTAAAACCTTTTCTAATGACATCCAAGCTCCAGAAATGGATATAAATAAAGTATGACTGAAATATGTTCTTTTAAAAAATATTTTACATCAGGGCGCCTGGGTGGCTCAGTGGGTTAAGCCTCTGCCTTCGGCTCAGGTCATGATCTCAGGGTCCTGGGATCAAGCCCCACATTGGGCTCTCTGCTCAGCAGGGAGCCTGCTCCCCCCTCCCCATCTGCCTGCCTCTCTGCCTACTTGTGATCTCTTTCTCTCCCTGTCAAATATATAAAATCTTTAAAAAAATATTTTATATCACAGTTTTAAAAGGAACGAGACTGTTACAGTCCTGAAATATTTTTATCTACGACCCTCTGTGTTAGTGAGAAGTCGGACTACTAGAATCCAAGCAAGGAAGAGAACTGGGTTATCATTACCATCAATACACCCTTTTTTAAGGTAGTAATTCCAAATACGGGGCCGAGTTGGAGATATTAGTTTAAAAAAACTTGGAGCATAGCTCATGGGCAATAACGAATCAAAGAGTAGAGTACGCCACTGTTCTCGTCCCATCACTGAACTCCTGCCTTTCACAAGAGGCGGGGCTGGTAAGCGGCCAGAGAAAACACTCAAGGTCGCTGCTGACTTTTTCTCATGGACAACTCAAGGGTCACTGGCTTCCAAGATCAAATAGCAACTTACAAGGACATGATCCCCACTCATGGCCCTACAGGAGAATTTGGCAGATGCGGGCAAAAGGTCCTTTGAATCTTCCACTGTGTGGAAGAATCCCCAGGGCAATCAACTGCCTTGAGAGCAGGAAAGAATTCTGTTGAGACAGGAGATCAATAAACCTTTGACAAATGCTCTGCACTGGTATTAATGGGGGAAAACTTAAACTTGGGGAGGAGAAGCAGCTTTCTAATTTATGAAACAACTACTGCTCCTCTAGACTGTCATCAGAACTGCTTTAGAAAATCATCAAAGGGTACCTCAAAACCTTCAGACATTTCTTACTGAGTATCTCTCCTTCACCACTCTGCTAAAATAGGGTAGACATGTACACTCCATGAGTGTACAGGCTTTGGGCAGGCGGTTAATCACAAAACACGTTAAAACGCATTTACACACACACACACATGCTCACATAGTATTATATGAACTTTAGGTTTCTTCAAAATCCTTTCAGTGTCTTGACAAGGGTAATCAGTATTAATCAACTGAAATGCAAACAGTGAAGTGTCTTTTTTCAAATTAGTATATAGTTTAAAATCTACCTGTTTACAATTTTCTTCCAAGTTTCCTTCTCCAGGCCCAGAGCAGGCAGCAGCTGACCTAGTGGGGAAATCCTCACCTACGCGACTACGCTGGAGCGGGGACTGACAAACAGGAATGGCGGCAGGATTTAGTGAGAGAAGAAGCAAGGGCTTAAACCAGGGTTACCTGTAAGCTGTGAACGTTATTTGGCATCTTTTACAGAATCGCTGAGGTCTCTATGATCTAACAGCTAAGAACAGGCAGAATAACAACAGTAATTCACCAGTTTCAAACCTCTGTCATTTCCTAGATGCGTAATAACCACAATCCTCACCAGCACTAGCAGCACTCTTGCCTTCTGTAATAGGAGGGTCCAAATGAGATCCAAAAGGTCAACTCATTTCTTGAAAGAGCCAGGCACAGTTAAGTGGAGACTCAAATCCTGTTTGATGGGAAAACCCTGAGCTTTGTGGCTAGGCCACACTGCCTACCTACAATCAGACTTGAACATTTTTCAGTTAGAGGGGCGACTGGGTGGCAGAGTCGGTTAAGCGTCATCCGACCCTTGTTTTCGGCTCAGGTCATGATCTCAGGGCCATAAGATACTCTCTCTGCTCCCCCCCCCCACCTCTCTCACTCCCTCTCTCTTAAAAATAAAATTAAAAAATTTTTTTCAGTTAGAAATTTCAACTTCAAAAGGCTTCTATCGTCTTCCTGTTCTACGCAACAGCATCTTTATACTTTCTAGGTTTTTTTGCCATGCTTTCAATCACCATGTTTCTCAAAACGACATTTGAGAGCTGTATCTACTATCTTCTCTGACAAAGTTAGGTGCTAAATGCCAGAGGATCATATATGATAAGCAAACCCACAAGGATTCTGAATCTTGAAATATAAACATACCATTAAAAATTCTACTGCATTATCATATTCCCTTTGGTTGATGGGGGAAAAAAATTCTTTCTAACGCTGAAAAAAACTGGGTTCTCCATTTGTTCCACAAATAGCAGCAGCAAAACTGAAACAACCTTTGAACAAACAGAGCAGGGGCCACAAAGTAAACGAAGTAATGTTTATGCTTTTCTCTACTGCAATTAGTCCTTGCAATGAAGCCTGAGACGGGGATTAGCATTCCCATTTTTTGAGAACAATGAGAATTCTCTAAATGTGAATTAAGAGGTTACCATGCAGACTCACACCAATGACTGGCAGAGGCAAAAGTCAAACAAAGGTCAAACTCTAGAATCTACTTCCTACTGTCAATATGTTATCTTTTTTTTTTTTTTAAAGATTTATTGTTTATCTGAGAGAGGGAGAGGGAGAGAATGTCAAGCAGACTCTGCACCTGGCAGGGAGCCCAATGTGGGGCTCAATCTCATACTGAAATCACAACCTGAACCTAAATCAAGAGTCGGACGCTTAACTGAGCCACCCAGAAGCCCCACGTTATATTACCTTAACATCAACACAGTGCCTAGAAAGGTATGGCATGGCTAACACAACTTTCAGGGCTACCATTCCGTAACACGAACGTTACTTTGGGAATAATGCAGCTGGTGGTGGGGAAGGCACTTTTCCTGCTAGGAAACCGGAAAAAAACCCATTAGTTTGGGCCTAGGCACACTCCACTGCTGACTGGCTTGTGTTCTGATTTTGGCTGTGCCTCTCCCCTCCTCTTCAAAACATCTTAAATATTTAAACACCCCACTCTCTCCAACATCAAACACCCCAAAATGCTGAGATGAAAAGGGAAACAAATATTAAAAATGTTAATAATAAATCAAGAGTTCTATCAGTTTAAAGTGCTTTCCCAAATAAGACTATACAGAATGAATTACACTGTCTGCAAACTCTCCAAGTATTGTTGGCAGAAAATTAATATTCTCAGATGCGTAGATTAAGGTTTTTTCATCAAATCTTGGAAGTCTGGGGAATATTTTTTCCCAAATATTTTCCTGCTGGCTTTGAAAAAGCAAACTGCCACACTGGGAGAGGACCATGTGGCAGGCAGTGGGTGTCAGGTAACCTCTGTGAGCTGAGAACACCCTTGCTGGCAGTTTGCAAGAAAACAGGCACCTCGGCCCCACGCCTGTAAGGATCAGAATTCGGCCGAGCAGCAGTCAGCCAGAGACCAGGTCTCATATGAGACCCAAAACCCAGGCAACATCTTGATTTCCATGTGTTGAGACCTTAAGCAGAGGACCCAGAGACCATGTACCAGATTCCCGACTCACAGAAATTACAACATAATAAATGTGTGTAGTTTCAAGCTACTATGTCTGTGTTGATTTGGTTTCCGAAAGAAGACTAATACCAGAGGTCAAAACAGGGGCTTCCAACACTGTGGTTTTGAAAATGACGGCTTCAATGTGTTACTTAAAATAAGATCATTTCTCTTTGGACATTTCTCATTCATTAATTCATTGAAAATATTTATTAAGTGTCTACTCCGTCCCAACGGCATTATGCTCGGTGCAGAGTGAGTATAGAGGGTGAGTGAAACAGGAAGGTGGGGAAGGCACTGGGAGCAGCAAGTCCAGACCTAGGCGTGAAGATCCTAAACATGTAGGCTGGAACCAAGAGAGTTAGTGGTAACCGGGTCACACGACACTGACAGTCTGTAGGTCTTGAAGTTCAACCCCAGGGCAGTCGTCTCAAACAATGGATTCTCAACTCTGTGCCTTAAAAATCAGCCAAGTGTTTTGGGTAAGACCCAAAACACCGTCCATATTTTATATCAATTAAGTCAAAACACCTGAGGGAGAGCCCAGGAATTGAGGTTGATTTCAACTGCGGCCAGGCCTGAGAACTATTGATATAATAAATCTGTCCAAATTTTCTGAAGAGGATTACTGTCCCAGAACCTGGGTTTGAACTCAGTCTGAAGGTGAGGTGTTAAGCAGTCCTCAAACTGGGAAAAGGGAAGAAGTAAGAGCAGGCAACAGACGTGGAGTACCAATGGAGACCAGGCTTTATGAAGTAGCACTATACGGTCCAAAATGACTGAAGTTAAGTGTTGAAGATCAAACAATAAATGAACCATGTGATTTCTGGCAATAAATTTAGTATCTTAACCATATCTGACTTAAACTAGTATTAAAATAAGTTGAGTGTATTGGAGTCCAATGCTAAGTAACTCAAGGAAAAAAGTTCCTCTATCAGCCTGTTTAGAAAAGTTAGGAAAATAAATTCTAGTTCAAATTTCTAATATGCATGTCCTGAGAAAATGGACATTATGAAGCAAGTGAGCTGCTCCCAAAAGGCCCTAATCATGGTAATGTGTAAGTCTAGAGTATGTTTCAGCGCTGCAGGAGGGAATATTTAAGTAACATTCAGTTACAAAAGGAACATGCATAGACACACGCATACACACACACACACTTATGTGTTATGACTAAAGATAGAAAGCTGTCCTGAAGGCTTTTGTATTTATTGGCCTATCCTGTGATTGTGAAAATTACAACAGAAGTATCTGTTTGTGACTTATATACCAACCAAATCATTCAACCACCTCCTACTGTTCCTCCCTAATCCAACACTGGCTTAATGGCTAAATTAAAGGTTGCCAGTGAAATGCTCTTTTGAGGATAATTCTGAATGAGTGCTTGAATAAGATTTCCTTTGACCTTGGACAACTTTGTTTATTAATATACAGTGGACATAGGACTTACATGACCTGTGACCCTTCCAAAGAAACCTTTCAGAGAATTCTTCTGTTGTCTTTGGATTCCATTAAAGGAGGAGATAAGTGTTATCTGCATTTGGAAAAACACCACTCCTGCTAGCTGTTGCTTGGAATCCTCCTTTCCTTTTTCCCTGCCTGGACCCATGTGGTCCACATAATCAACTCTGCTCAAGGCCAAAGGACTCCACTGATCAGGCGAACTATGGAAGGAGTATGGCACAGAAGAAACAAAGCAAGGCTCGTGATTATACGCATAGAACCAAAGTCAAGTACTTTCAGTATGAAAGCAGAACTGAGGAAGCTGGCTTTTAAAGAGTACTTTACAAAGGCTACTCAGTTTCCAAATAAAATAAAAGAATGATGGCTGCATGTGCAACTCAAGCACAGAAGGACATGGACAGGCAGAGAGGAAGAGAAACAGACACAGGAACTTACACTTGGGGTGTGCTGACAACTTGTCAGGAATTGACAAAATGTTTCACATGTAATAATTAATCTCTGTAAGGGTTCTGAGGTGAGTACTACCTAGTAAAAGAAATGGTACTCTGTGTACTATTATATGTCCCTGTGTACTATGACATTACTTCACTGTACACCCTTCAATGTGTCACTTCTGAAGAAAGTAGCCAATACTTCTCTTCTCCTGATAAAACAAATCAAACAAAACAACACTTTGGTGTCCAGGGGGCTCCAAAAATCTGAATTCTACCTCCTCATTCATTCAGCCCCTCCCATGTCAAAGACAGGGTGTTCCAAAAGTGGTATATAATCCCAAGTTGTTTGTTCTTTTTAAACTCAGGAATTCATATCCTAGCGAACTTTCAGCCACATTTTGCTGTGAGACCAGTCAGCCTTAGATTTTTCAAGTCTGTCCTCAAAGTCCACGTCTTGAAACTGATGTATGGAAAACCAATGGCCTTATGAGACACTGAACTACAAGTGCTTTCACATATGAAAAGGACAAAATTGATGTCTACGGAAAGCATGAACCCATCATACAGGATTTCTGATTTTCATTTTGATGTCAGAAGCCTGGGAGGAGGTGGAACTGGAGAGAGGAGATAAGAGCAAGAACAAAGTCTGGTTTTCACAGAAAAGAAGTGAGAAAGGATTCCTGTGTAAGTATGTGGGGTGGTTTGCAAGCTTCTAGGTACATTTCTTTTCCTAACACATGCCTAAGAACAGTCTGTATTTAAAGCTGCACTTTGCGCTCTCTTGGACATACCTTTCTCACGTCTGAACTCTTTGGTTCTGTCGTCCAAGTTATAATTCTAGAAACAGCAAGCCTCGTCTCACTAGAGTTTACAAAATCTGTTGGATCCATCTGCCGAGCGAGGGACTCAATGTACTTCAGGATTGCAACTTTGACCTGAAAGATCCAATAATTACAAACATTAAGCATACTTTATGAACCTTTGAATAGAATTCCGAACTGAATTTTGATCAAAGAAAATAAATACTCTTGAGGGGACACCTCCTTTCTCCTGGATTTATGTTCCCCCAGGGAGCAGTGTCCACCAGGGATGAAAGCATGAAATGATTGACAGGTAAGTTTGCGAAAAGGGCGAGTGCTGTACAGGTCAATCCTCTTCAGTTTTAGACTAAAGGCACGCTCTGCTCCTCCCCTATACGGCAAGACACCTGCAAGGCATGAGCCCCCACGGGCAGGCTGTGGGATTTCCAGCTCTGCCAATGACTGGGAAGTATTTAGCTTTGTGTTTTACACATCCTGGGCCATGTCTTACAAGGGAGCATTTTCAGCGATCAAGCTGATACTCTGCCCTAACTTCTCCACTGATGCTTCAATGGGTTTGTACCTTTGGAGAAGAGGGTTATCATTCACTGGGCCTATCCTAAAACCCCCACAAAAGTTAATGATTAAAGAACAGATGATTTACGTGATCTCATTCAAACCAAGACAAACCCTCCCTCAAATTCAGTCTCGTTACAGTGATGATTTCCCAAAATATGTAACAATTAATTTTCATGTGTTAGGATGTTAATATTGAAAACATTCTAGTAAGATACCTTATTTCAACACATCAGAGATTTCTAGTTTAAATACTGTGAAAAACAGTAGTAATACCCAAATGTTGGTAGGATGTGGAACAGCTGGTGCTCCGATTATACTGCTGGTAGGAATATAATATGGTACAACCATTTTCACAGTTTAAAATAAAGTTAAACATGTCCCTACCCAATAACCCAACAACTTTATTCCTAGGTACTCAACCAAGAGAAATGGAAACACATTCCCAAATAGTTGTACAAGGATGCTCATGACAGATTTATTTGTAACAGCCAAATAGGAGTCAAAAACAAAAAAGTACATTTTAAGCAAATTTGACTTCTAGAGGTTGAACTGTAATCACAAATAGTTACCAACCTTGAGGTTAGGAGTTTGAGTTTGATCCACAATAAATCTCATCAAAATGTTAAACTGTTGATCAAATGGAAAGGAGTCCCTAGGTTTAAGAGAAGAAAAAAAAGTGCTCAGTTTTAAAGAAAGATCTATTACAAAAAGTAATGCAAAACCGCATCAGAAATGAAAATATACCATTAGAGATGAGTCTAATTTATATAAAAGCAAGCTTGACCTTAGTTGACTAAGTTTACTAACTGTACTTTTCATTTTATAGAAATACTACAGTAATACACATTATATGGAAAATTCAGAAAAAGAAAACTCTTGCTGAAAGTCCCCAGACACACACTATGCTCACTTTGAGTTATGCTATTTTGAAAATTAAGGCCAAGCAATAAACTAAGGAAAAGATTCCTACCTGCCCTCTAAGGGATCTACTCGTCTTCTCTCTGGCCACCTTTCTGAATATTGCTTCGTGATAACCACCTCCAATCCCCAAATCTGGATCTGCATCCTGAGTGAGCACCTTACCGCTGGCCTTGCTAAGGCTCATCACACTGTCCTCCTTGGTCCCACTGGGCAACTGCTTATGGTCTCTGTTCTGTGGGGTCCCCACAGCGGAGTGCCTGTGGGAGACCCAGCAGGGGAACGAACTCCCCATCCAGCTACAATACGTATGCGGAAGCCAGGGCCTGCGGAAGCCCCTCTCGTGCTCCACTTCTGGCCTGTTCCTAAGCTCACTTCTGGTAGCCGCTTCGCATCTTCGACACAACTGAGAACCCTGAGGGCTCCTGGCTCGTGAAAGTCTGTGCTCTCTCCCTTCAAGTACTGCAATTATTAGTATTAGTTTAAAAGTGCAGAAATGGAAAAAAAAAAAAAAGTGCAGAAATGGTGTTTATGTGGGAAAATGCAGATACATCTTCCACACTAACAGGAAAGACTGTATAAAGCAAACTTCTATTACAATGGGGGCTGAGTGAATGCACTGCTTTCTTTGGACTCTCTGACTCATACTGCCTATAAATTAAGGATACAAGGCTGACAAAGCACACACAAAACGCCTCTCTTTTTTTCTGCAGCAAGGGGAGAATGGAGAATCCACTGAAGTATAAACTGGTGTGTTTCATCAGGAAATGCGCCCATGGTTAGGCACGGCCAAAGGAAAAGGAACTGGCAGATCCCAATCAAGCCTATTACCTCAGGAACCCCTCACAGCCAGCATGGAGACCCCTACCCCACCCACGCCACCCCCCCGCCCCCCCGCCCCGGTACTCACGGACTGATCCTAAATATGCTTAAACAGCTAGGCATCTCAGCTGCTGGGGAAATGGGAATGATGAAGGTGTTCTAGAGACTTAGACAGAATCTACCCAGAAGAGGATTCTTTTTTTTTTTTTTTTTAAGATTTTATTTATTTATTTGACAGACGGAGATCACAAGCAGGCAGAGAGAGAGGAGGAAGCAGGTTCCCTGCCCAGTAGGGAGCTGGATGCAGGGCTCGATCCCAGGACTCTGGGATCATGACCCGGGCAGAAGGCAGAGGCTTTAACCCACTGAGCCACCCAGGCGCCCCCCAGAAGAGGATTCTTAAAGGGAAGAGGCATCCAGGAAAATAATAAGAAAGTTTTCCTTAATCACCAAAGTTTAGGAGTAGAATCTTAACAGTCCTGCCATCCCTAAAACTCTGAATGGTTTTGCCATTCATAAATTCATCTACATTAAGGAAGTGACCTTTAGGCCAAGTCTGGCTCACAAATATTTTATATGGCTTTCAGAGTGTCATTAAAAAACAAAACAAAAAACCTCAAATGTGTTGCCTTAATGCACATTTTTTTTTTTAAAGATTTTATTTATTTGAGAAAGAGAGAGGGCATGAGAGGGGAGAAGGTCAGAGGGAGATGCAGACTACCCATGGAGCGGGGAGCCTGATGTGGGGACTTGATCCTGGAACTCCGGGACTATGACCTGACCTGAAGGCAGTCACTTAACCAACTGAGCCACCCAGGTGCCCCATTAATCCACATTTCTTTTTTTTTTTTTTTTTAAAGAATTTTTTTTAAAAGATTTTATTTATTTATTTGACAGACAGAGATCACAAGTAGGCAGAGAGGCAGGCAGAGAGAGAGGAAGGGAAGCAGGCTCCCCGCTGAGCAGAGAGCCCGATGCGGGACTCGATCCCAGGACCCTGAGATCATGACCCGAGCCGAAGGCAGCGGCTTAACCCACTGAGCCACCCAGGCGCCCTTAATCCACATTTCTGACCTTTCTTGAGAAGTCTGGTACCACTGGGCCCACGCATCACCTTCCCTCCCATCTACTTCACCCAGTTATTAGCTGATCAGCCTCGCCCTGGCTGAGAACCTTTACAAACCCACTGATATACTGGTATGTAGGTAAGTTCCCTAATTCCACTAAACTTACTCAACCAAGGGAGGGATGGCATTTGAAAAGCTTACTGTAAATACAGTATATTAAACTGAGTTCAGTAAAAAATCAAAAGAGATCTATCTGGATAATAAAATTCTGTAGCAGCACAGATGATACAGATCTATAGGGTCAGGCACCAAAAGCAAACAGCTCACATCAGAGTGCGGAAGAACAAATCCAAGTTTGCAGTCACAGACATCTAATAGATGCATGCATGGGGATGATGGCAGGTGAGCGTGTGCTCCTGCAGCGGAGGGAGCCAGAGAAAAGAAAAAGCACAAAGACTATCCACACCGTCCTACAGAAGAGGAAGACGCCTGCCCACAGAGCAGCCTGCAGTCAGAGGAATGGACAACGGAGCCACAACCAGCAGTCCTGGATTCTGGCCCCCAGCCTGCCACTAACACGAAGTGTGACCCAGGCAAGTCAGGTCAAGTCTGTTCCCTCATTAATAAGATGAGGAAGGGTCCTTCCATTTTGGAAATTCCATGATATGCAGTCATCGCCCAGTGGGTAGTAACTGGGTTGTACAAAGGCTCCCGTACTGATGGTAATTACCTGCTCTGGAGTCATTTTTTTACTCATTTAAACATTCACTGATCTGACACATGACCCTCCATCTCCTACCAAATCATAATGAAGAGTTTACAGCCAAGTATCTTCTGAAGTCATTTAAGCTCCAATACTTGTATGTTGAGGACCTACAACTGTGGAGATAACTGATAGGTCACTCAACAATGACTGTGCACAATTTTTTGCACGTCTCTGAGTCTCTGCAGACCTTCTCTCTTTCTTCATAACAGCCAGAGAGTTACAACTGCTGTGTTAGCAATCTCCAAGCTACTGAATGCTAAGAGAGAGTATACCTGGACAAAAGGGACATCACATGTGCTAGAAAATTTCTAGTGTGACTTGTAAGAAGTTGAAGTATTAAAAGGGCTAGGGTCTTCAGAAGGATGTAAATAAATACTCAAATGTCTTTCAAAGAGAAGGGAATCCGTTTGCAAGGCTTGATAATATTTGTTTTTAATTTGTCTTGAGTGTTCACAAAAACCATACCAGCACAACGAGGATATGGGTATTTCATCTCATGTAATGCAGGAACATTTCAACAAATACGTTAAGTGAATATTGAAACTGTGTCAGAGAGTACTTATTCAAGCAGATGACAAAACCATGGGTAACACCTATGAGAGTCTTGTAACATCAGCATGGTCTGGCCCATGTGGAGAGACATTTTCCAGAAGATGATGTCCAAATGGCCAACAAATACATGAACTGCTCAACGTCACTATGAGGGAATGCCAATCAAAACCACAAGGAGGTATCACCTCATACCTCCTTAGCTATTGTCAAAAAGATAAGAGAGAACAAGTGTTGGCGAGGGCATGGTAAAAAGGTAACCCTTCTGCACTGTGGGTGAGAATGTCAATTGGTGCAGCCACCACAGAAAATAGTTCAGATTCCTCAAAAATTAAAAATAGAAACATCATATGGTCCAGTAACTCCACTTTTGGGTGTGTATCCAAAGGGAATGAAACCACTATCTCGAAGAGATAACTGACCTCATGGTCACTGTAGCATTATTTACAAAAGCCAAGATATAAAACAAAGTGTCTGTCAATGGAAGAATGGATTAAAAAAAAAAAACACAAAAAACACAAGAAATATTATTTGGTCATAAAAAAGAAACTGCTGCCATTTGTAACAACATGGATGGACCCTAAGGGCATTATGCTAAGTGAAATAAGCCAAACAGAGAAAAGCAAATAATGCATGATCTGACTTATACGTGGAATCCTGGGCTACCCTCCCACCCCACAAAAGCAAAATCCATAGAAGCAGAGTAGAATGGTGATTGCCAGGGCATATGGGGTGGGGAAAATGGAGAGATGCTGGTTAAGGGATAAAAGCTTCCAGTTTCAACATGAATAAGCTCTGGGGATGTAAAGTACAGAATGGTGATTTCAGTTAACAATACTGTATCATATTTCTTACCATATTCATATCTCTTAGTTGCTAAGAGAATAGATCTGAAGTTCTTACCACAACAGAAAAATGGCAATTATGTGAGATGAAAGATGTGTTAAGTAATGTTATAATCATTTAGCAATATACACACGTTGTCAAATCGTCAGGTTTATATATGTCAAACTTACACAGCATTATATGAGTTGTACTGAATATTTGAGTTATCTCTCATGATATAACATTATATAATATACATAATATAATATACATGACAATATTTGAGTTATATCTCAAAAGCTGGAGGAAAAAAACGATCTAGCCCCTAAAATCTTACCTGGTGACATCTAGAGCCTTCTGAACTTTTGCCTGCACAGATCCAAGTAAGTCTGCTCCCATTTTCTTAAGTAATTGTGTGAGAAGAACAAAAAGCCAGTCTTGCAAGTCATCCTTATGAATTATTATAAAATCCACAAGAGTCTCCAAAAACATACTGAAAACCTAGGCACAAATGAAAACCAAATGTTTCATATGTGTAATTCATAATTTCCTCCAAAGTCTTTATTAAAAATGGACTGGCCATACAGAGAAGACAAATATATTAAAAAAAAAAAAATAGATAAAGGAAAAAGGATCAGAACTTACTCTCTGTTGTGAATTCCACGGCAAACCAGGCCATGCAACAAAACAAATTCCATGTTAGTCCACAGTGAATTAATAACCATTTTCATGCAGTTTCTTAAAAGACCTAGAAAAGACTACACACTGATACTGATACTCTCCCCTCCCTCAATATGCCTTCAAAATTCAGTACTGAGAGAAATTAACTTTGCTGAAAGTCATCTGTTTAATCCTGGAGGCCTCTCTTCCTTCCATCCTTCCTTCGTCTTAAAAAAATTTTAAAAAGTCTTTTTAACCATCATAATTCCGTACTATTACTGTCCATTATCTAGCATTCAACAAGTAATGCTACAAGATGGAGGGAAAAAACTTTGTGCATTGTAGATTTTGAGGTAGTCCAATTCAGATACCATAAAGTAATACAATATAAAAAGATATTATTAAAGTCATTATAGTCTTTATTAAAAATTATGGCTTAGAATAAAAAAGATACAGTCCACATAATTCTCACGTTGCTGTGCGATCATTAATGCTGTATAAGGTGAGATAAGAGTCCACAGGGGACTATGCTCGAGCCGATTTCAGAGAGGTTAGCAGCACTGTGTCCCCTACTTGGCTAATGAGTCATGCTCTACTGGGACAACCAAGCCATTATACACCTACTCAGTTGTAGCACAGCAACTGTTAACCACCAGGGGTCTCCCTTGAGACAGCTCAGGAAAAAACTCATGAGCCCCTGCTATGGGATTCCTGGCTTAGCTCCAAGGCAGCTAGCAAATATTAACTAAACTGAGACCTCCAAACTCACTGTACAAGAGCCTTCTGATGGAAACAAATTTCCTTCTTTATCCTCACATTCTGGTTCTGAATCAGCAATCTAGAGGTGACAGGTAACAGAAATTTCATCAATGCCCCATATCTAACATCCCTTATGCTCTAACTCTTATGAATCTTATGCTTAAAATCTTCCCTTTTGGGTGGGGGGGGGACCCAATATAGGGCCCAAACCCATGACCCTGTGCTCAAGACTTAATCCAAGATCAAGAGTCAGACATTCAACTGACTGAGGCACCAGGGCGCCCCAGTCTTCCTGCTTTTTAACACTATCTTAAGAGAAAAATCATGGTAATTGTAACTTTGCATATCTGTGTGGCCCTAGAACTCAACCTTTCTTGGATTCTACTTATGGTGTTAATGTTAACCTTGCTGTGAGGTTCATCACAGGAATTTTAAGACATGCTTCAAGACCAGTATCGAGAACTGTAGTCTCTCACCAACCCCCACACTGCAGAAAAAAGGGACCCCCCCCCAACTCATTCTCCCAGGCTCCTATGTGCATCTCAAAGAACAGGGGTAACGTGTTGTTTGCTGTGTCCCTAGCCCAGAGCGAGTACTCAGTGAGTGCTGAATGACTAGATGGAACATGTCTGATGACTCTAATAAGAAAGACAGGGCAGGAAAGGAACAGAGGTCACAATAACTGGCTGGCCATGACAGGTCTCCTTTTCCCCATAAGACTTACAAGAGACCATTTTTACTAGGAAAACTGTGGTCTGAGATCGTGAAATCCTGCACTGTCAAGCACATGAGATTTGTTTATACTGACTTAAAGGTTCTCCCAATTTTTGTACTTCTGTTTCTGTCCTTTATCCATCCTTTAAACTTGCCCAATAAACTCATTCCTCCCATTTTCTTTCTCTAAAAGCATCCAACTAGGATTCCTCCAAAACTAACGGTATTTGTTTCAAATTCAGACTGCAAGCACGCTTCTGTAAAGGGTCCATCTCTTGGCACCACTTCTAGTAAGGGTCTGGGTCATAGTCAGGGGTGTTTTCCTCCCAGCAGGGACCCCTCCTCAGGCTCAGTGCTCTCTTTGCACCCCAGGCCTGTGGACGTCAGCTAGGTGGCCCCATCTAGCAAGTTCTTGAGGACAGCAAAATTCTATTTGGAGAAATAGCTTAACCTGGTTTTTCAATAAATCTATTACATAAATGCTTCTATTTTTCTATCTTGTCCTATATAGACAAATTCTACATGGGGTACAAAAAAAATTATATACTTGACTATCTTCTTCACTTCTATTAAGTTAAAAAAAAAAAGGCACTGCATTAGAATATGTTGTTTTATTCTACCCAAAAGCATCTGAATATGACTACATCTGATTCTTTCCATTAACTCTTTTTTCCCCCATTATGTCTTAAAACAAACTTTATTTAGCTTATTTTGCTCCATGTTTTAAGGACATCTGAAGTTCCCACAAAGTCGTTCTTAAAAGATACAACGTAAACTACTGCAGAAACTGGTGTTAAATCTGTAAGGTCTATACTTGGCTGTGGGGAATTATCTCTCACTCTTAAGTAGTGTATTATACGGCTCACGTGGGCATGCAGCGGGAGAGGTGGGCAGGCACGAGTCCCAGACTCACCTTGCTGTGAGGGTCAGCAAACATTCGGGTGAAGATCTCACACAGTCTTTTCAATTCTACTCGACTAGAAGAAATAAAATGGAAATTAATAAATGAACTTAGAATTTAATGACGAGTCAGCACTGAGATTCGTGAGAGCTTTTTTAGAACTAATTTTTATGTAGCGAATCTTTTTTCACAAATGAATCATTCTATTTAATTCACAATGAAATTAAGTATAAATATAAAACCATGAGAGTTTGACTCTCAACTTAAAATGAGGCAACAGAATCTCAGAGAGTGACTACCAGAGTTCACACACACGGCAGTGGCAAAGCCTGGAGCTAAATACCACTCATCTCATTTGAGGTCTGTTTTCCACCTGCCATCGGTGAACGGTAATGGGATAAAGTGTAGGAAAATCATGTGCATTGGAGTCAGCAGAGACCTGGATTTTAATATCAGTTTTGCTACAAACTACTCGGTTGTATTTAGATGTGTATTAAACAAATGGCCACAGGGAGGATTAAAGGAGGGAATGCTGCATTCCTACAACTGCTAAGACCCAGCAAACATTCATTTCCTATTAGTGCCCTTTTGCCTTTCTGACCCTTACTAAGCTATACTATTGCATTCCATTTTTCCTTTAAGGCTTGAGTAAGTGTCATCACCTCTTCCCCAAATCACCCCTGAGTAATCAGACGAGACAGTTGGTTCGATGATCCTTTAACATTATTTTATTTTTATTTTACTTTTTTAAAGATTTTATTCACTTATTTGACAGAGATCACAAGTAGGCAGAGAGGCAGGCAGAGAGAGAGGAGGAAGGTGTCTCCCTGCGGAGGAGAGAGCCCGATGTGGGGCTCGATCCCAGGACTCTGGGATCATGACCTGAGCTGAGGGCAGAGGCTTTAACCCACTGAGCCACCCAGGCGCCCCCCTTTAACATTATTTTAAGATTTTATTTGACAGAGCGCACCCACACAAGCAGAGGGAGCAGCAAGCAGACGGAGAGGGAGAAGCAGGCTTCCCGCTGAGCAGGGAGCCTGATGCAGCCCTCGATCCCAGGACCCTGAGATCATGACCTGAGCTAAAGGCAGATGCTTAACCAACCGAGCCACCGAGGCATCCCGATCCTTTAATATTATTAATAATGAGATCTAGTTAGACCAGTGCCAATCAATAGATTTCTAGAGATTATTCAATGGATACTCAGTGAACACTAAAAAAATCAAGAAACTGGGATCACCAGAATTAAGCAGAGTCTTAAGGAATAATCATCTCAACAAACCATTGTCATTTTTTTTTTTAATCCTCATTTTGTTTCTAACAGCTCACTAGAGTGTCAGAAGCTACGTGCATTTCAGAAGGCACACAACAAAACTTCTCAAGACCTCTCAGCGGGGTCGGGGTTGGGGGGGGATCAGCATTCAACAGGTACGAACAGGGCAGGATGGAGTGGGACGGACCAGGCGGGCACACTTATGGCACAGGGATCCACTATCCACTAGTCAAGGTTCACTTGGCTGTGCAGAGCCTATCTGTGACCATAAACTGATCCACTCTCACAAGTTATCTAAGAAAAATTCTCCAAAGACTATAATATCCATATTTCAGGGATTCTAACGTACTGGATTTTTCACATTTTCACATCTCTGTAATTTTGAGATTCATCTTCAATCAAAGACATGTTAGTACTGCCATGGTTTAATAAGTAGCATTTCTTCTTAGAGGGATATAAAATAACAGTGTGTCAACGGTCCCTCAGATTTGATGAAATATGATATAAACACATATTTTTTTAGTATGTGTGATACAGGCTCATTTTAGAAAATTTGTGAAATACAGAACCAAAGAAAAGAGCAAATTAATCAACTCTAGTAATAACACTGGTATTACTTAAAAGTACTCCATTTTAGTAGCTCTTTACTATACACATTTATAAGCCGTATGTATGCATGTTATAAAATTTTAGGCTGAGACTGCTAAGATTTTACCCACAACTCCAAAGTATAATGAGCGATACCAACCTGCAGAGTTGTTTTATTTTCTCCCTAACTTGCACACTGTACCAAGACTTCTCAAACAACACCTACCAGATAATGTGAACTGCGGTGTAACCAAATGTTTTTATAAACCTAACAGAGCATTTGCCAACTATTTCCAAGTCTCTGGAACGCCAAGACCACGTCTTAGTTATCTTAGCACCCACAGTGCCTGCCTCTGTGCCTGGAACTGTGAGGGCTCCAGGAATGACAGGGATTTTGCATCAACCACAGCTGAGTGTAATATGGGACTTAAAACTTGGCTCACAACCTTGGCCTCTCGTCCTCACCTCAGTGTTCTTTGGCTCTTCAGTAAGTTCTGCAGGCCTAGGAGCCCTTCTTTCCTTTCTGACCAGTTGGAACTGGCACAGTGGTTGAGAACTTCCGCCACGTCCTCCGTCTGCCGCAGATAATGGGGAATGCCACCGTTCCTGGAGCCGTACGAGCGCTCAGAGCAAACACTTGAGGCGTCGCTGTTGGCGTCGTCATCAGAGTACATCCCATATGGCTCGTACCTCCTCCTCACAGGCTTCTTCTGTCAGGTGCAACGAAGGTGGGGGTGACGGAGGAAGACACGGGAAGGTGAGATGACTGAGAGTCACAGCACATGGTATCGACAACAGAGTCAAAGGTAAAAAGATACGCACGCACGCACACACGCACGCACGCACTGCGCTTTCCTGTGCTCACAGATGAGGGAAATAAAAACGGAAAAGCAGACACCCAGTCGGGAGAGTAAGTGACAGGCAGAGCAGTCCACAGCAGAGAGGGAAGAGTGTGGTTTGTAGGACGGTGTACGGACTTCGCAGTGAGGCTGACTCGGGTGGCAGTCCTGTCGCCGCCAACTGGCTGAGGAACTTCAGAAAGCTCCTCACCTTCCTGCTTCACTCTCATCTTTGAAATGACAACAAGGCTACCTGTCACACGCCTACTGGGGGCACATGTGAACTAACCTGGCCCAGCCCCCGCCACCCTGCAGGCATGTACACCTGTCGGCCCCCTTCGCAATCGAAAGCATTCTATCTTGAGCAGGGTCTGTGGGAAAATTTGTTGGAATATTCATGCTTCCTTAAGAAAGTCTGGAACTGAAATGTCAGGGACACAGCAGTGCAAGTAAAAGGATGTTTAAATGGTCCGAACACAAATAAGCTTCCTGCAGACCCCCTTCATTCACTTCTCTTACCCTGAATATGAAACTGTAAGTTAAACCCATAAATAATAGAGCAACAGCTATTAAACTGAAAAAATACAATTTTCCCTAAAAGAAAAAAAAGTTAATTGGCTAAAACCATACAAATACAATTTTCTTCTGTCTTTTATTTTCTTTCACAAATGTAATCTTCTAATAACGTATGGCTTGTCCGTCCACCATAACTTGCTCGGGACAGTTCTGCCTTATGCCTCTTGTCCCAGCAGAGTTATGAGTTAGGTAGTACCCCCTTTCACTCTCAGAAGTATCCTTCTTAGAACTATAAATCATAGGATCGTCTGATATATATATATATATATATGCATATATATATATATATATATATATATATGCATATATATATATATATACACACACACACAAACTAGACTTGTAAAATAAGAAAGATGTTGAATATATCCATTCATGAAACAGTAATGACATTAAGAGTAGACACAAACTGGGTTAATGAAATAAAACACTGACAGGAGAAGGAGCAGAGCTTGACATTAAAAAAACAAACACTACAACAGATGAGAGAGGGGACTGATTCCATGGCTAACAACAGCTTCGCTAGACTTGACAAAATCATAATTCAGGCTAAAATTTCTACATTGCACTACATGCTTTTTTGCTTTCGCTACCTCCTAAAGGAAATATACTCGCAACAGAAAAAAATGAAGTTGTAAAACAAAAGTTAAAGCACTGGTACCTTGCTCCTGGAGTCTCCTAACAGCTGTAGGCAGGAAAATATTGAAGGATGGGGAAAAAGCATAGAGAATTATGTCAGAAGCATATGTGGGGATTGTTCTTGCAACAAAAGTGTACAGCAAAACATATCTTAGCAAACCAAAAATATAGGTTAGCAAGCGAATTCATATCAAGCGAATAATAACAAAGAACACTTTCACAATGGCATTTCCTAGCCCTTCCTACACCTCCTAGCAACACGCTCCAGTGCTCACTACACTTCCTGCTATGCTAAAACTCTTCCCACGCCACCAAGGTATATCCCGAAAGTCATCGTAAGTTCTCCTGTCTGTTCCTATGCTAGATTCTGTCTGCCCCTGGGGTTTCTAGCCTGGGAGGCAAACACCGTGTACCATTCCTGTGCTCTCTCCTCTGCAGCAGGTCACTCGGGGAGGCTAAGCAGTTTGGATGAAGAGTAATAAGGACAGCCTGAGTGGACTGAAGGCTAGAGCTCAGAGAAAAGCCCGAGTCAAGGAAAGCCCAAGCTCAAGTTCTCAAGTCCAACTCTGCCCCCTGGAACTTTGTGCACAGTCCCTTGGGCGGTTCTTTGAAGAACGAGGGAACTCCCCCGCCCTACCAGGAAGTCCCATTTAACTAAGGGTTTTGTACATCCATCATTTCCCACCCCTCTGACCTCCTAATAGGGTCTCTGAATAAATAAGAAACAGATTCTCAGTGCTGCAGCTTGGAAGGAAAAATAGCCTCCCAGAGTTCTGTTCCAGCTCATGACTCTGAAGTCAAAGCCATGGTTAGTGCAATCATCCTGAACTCCAGTACCTGCCAGGAAAAAGCCCTTCTACACAGAAGGCTGCGGAATGGAGCTGGCCAGGGGCCCTTGCTTACAGGAAGAGCATCGGCAAACTGCTTGCTCACAGCCGCTTGTCAAAGAAATCTGACTGAGCAAGAATAAATGAGGGTGACACATAGGACGGGATGAAACTGAGAATCCCTGTTAGCCACAGACTGTAACATTTTGATCAGATGAAAAACGGGGCTGGGTTTAAAACTTCTGGGTCTGAAAGCAGGATGTTATAATACGTTTTTCCTTAGAGAGACAATCTATCTTAAAACAGCACAAGCAAGGCCAGGGATCAGACAGCTCTAAAGAGAATCTATTTTAAATGCTGAGCACATCAACCAGAATATGCTAGAGGCAGTGTCACTACCAGTTGAAATGCATCTTTTAAAAGCAATTTGACCACGAGCTGATTCTACCAGGGGATGTTCTGCTATAAGCACAAATTTAAGGACCTCTAATCACTTTATGTTGCTGTTGTTTTTTTTTAGATACTCCATTGTAATGATGCAAAACCACATTCCACCAGTGCTTTATACCCTCAGAGTTCATTGGCATTAAAATTTAGGAAAGTTTCCTTAAATAATGACTTAATGACTCATTTTCAAAGACAAACAAATGAAGGTAAAATCATATGGAACAACTAGTATGGTCATGGAACCAATATGAGATTTTCCAACCACGAACTCTGTTACCTATTATAACGGTATGTTTAGGCTATGCCATCAGAGCCTGTAAAGCAAGAGAAGCGGGAGGATGAAAACAGCAAACGCTGAAGAAAAAACATGGAGGAAAAGGAAAAAAATTAAAAAAGGAGCCCAATGACATCAGAGAAGCCCAATGTCATCAAAACTTCCTTGATACTGAGGAGCACAGAAGAAAACACCTGACGTCAGTATTTTTTGTAGGGCCAATTTTCACTTATGTACAGGGATAGAAGTTTAAAGAGAAAGTGCTAACAATATCAATTTACCCAGTATTTCCACAATTTTATGGAGTGCCCAAGATGACTGAGCACCCTGATTTGGGAGGCGATTTTCTGTTAGGACAGAGAAAACAGTCCAAGAGACTGTATACACATTGAGACTCTTACCAAAGCATCAGCAACAGCAGCCTCAAGGTCTGTACTCGTGCTCAGAACTCGCATGGCATTCACAGAGCCAGGTCCTCTTCCTGCCTGGCCAAGCCCAAACCGGTCTATTTAAGAAAAACAAAACCGAAAGATATGTCACTTTAATTCAAATTTCCTCAGTTCTTTGCAAGGGCTCCTGCCTCTTCCCATCTATTGGACAGAGGCACTGGAAAGTTTCTAGCCAATCTGAAGGTCCCTTCACTTGCAGTTCTAACTGGACTTGGTTACCAGCGGCAGAGGTTAGCCTGTTCCACGTTTAATACTATCGTGCCACAAAGCATCTGAATAACTGAAATGGCTCTTTAATGATGTTGTATTTTTGAAGTGTTGCGACATGGGAGAGTGAGGGGAACTTATTATAGAAGTGAGCTGGGCTGTGGGCTGAGTCTTTTAATCTAGTTAGTGCTCCCTCTGGAGGCAAGTGGCCCTGATGTTTGGTCAAACTAATTAGAAAGCTTCATGGTTTGACAACAGAATTCTAATGCAATGTGTAATCAAAATTTAAAATTTGAAACAAATGTATTTGACTGATCTCTGCAAATTTTCATTCGTGTCAAGACTGTTTAACTGTCATTAGCTGAGCTCAATTTTTGGTACTTGTTTATGATGCCTGTGTTACCAAAGGTTATTTAAAAATCAGTTTATTAAAACTCTTCAATGAGCATCACAAAAAGCTAGCATCTTCACTGCAAAATACTAACCATTCAGATAACATCAGTATACATTTTTCCTGAGTCCCTCAAAGGACTTTCAAATGATAGCCTAAACAGGTAAACAAAATGGACATGATCCAAAGAATCTAAAATAAATTTCAGCAATTCAATTATTTTAAGCCTATTTAGGATCAAGGACAATGAAGACTAGCTTTTTAAAAGTTCCGTATCATCAGGAGAGCAGCCTTCCTTAAGAAGAGCTGAGGTTAAAGCTATAACAGGAGAAAGTTCATATAAATTATACTTCCTAAGTGTATCACAGTATTTACTGGCAAACATTTATTTAAAATGCTAATGTATTTTTAAAAACCTTTGAATAAAAATGTTAAGATTAAAAAATGTTTTCTTTTTGTGAACAAATAAGACACTGTTTGGACCAAAAATAAATAAATAAATAAAATAAAACCCAAAAAACAAAAAACTCTACTAGCCATATTCTCATAATGAAGCATTTACAATAAAAGGAAGGCTAAATCTGTTTTATGTGAATTGATCTTTCTTACAAACTGATATATTTAAAACTCTAGATATGTAGCAAGAGTTCTTTAGAAAACAAGGACTATAAAAGTGAGGTGTTACTTAGCTTTTTTAAAATGTCAGTTTCAAAAATTACACTTCCCAGCGCCTCCAAAAGGGGAAAAAATTTAAACACTGCTAACCAAACGTTATACAGTCACAAATTTTTATAAAGAAACAAAAATTGTATGTTATACTATCCCCTTTTTTAATGCACTTGTTAGTCATACTGTATGCTGTCTTAGCTGTTATGTTTAAAAGATGATTAAATGTGCCAGATAAACTAAGAGACCACAAAGCAATTATATCTAGATCTCTCCCTATTATATATATATATATATATATATATATATATATATATATATATTATCAGTTGACACACGAAACAAGTGTAAATTTGAGATTTGCTGTGCATATGCTTTTATACATGATCTTTGCTCAAGTCTTTTTACCATTAAAAAAGGGTAGATAGTAAGGGATTTATGAGTAAGAAAATGAAAATTCAGTTGTAAGCCTTTTAGAAATTACCAGCATAAACTTAAATAAAAAGGAATCTTAAAAAATTTTTTTAAAAAAGTATATCTCATGCCAGCAATTCTTGCTCCAGGGATAATACTGATTTTTTCTGACAGAAAATTAAAACTATAAGAACAATGCAATTATCCTGTGCTTCCCAGAAGCATACAGCTCTGCCATACACAGTGACTGCCGATCACTGGATATGTACCATAGATCATTTGAATTTCAAATCTGAAGGGGAAATGTTTGTCTGGATCTGAGCAAAGTTACAAGCTTTGTTTTCACCAGACCGAAGTCTGTTCTACACTTGCTGCTCTGATGTTATGATGAAGCTCCATTTCCCAAGAGATGGGTATGTGTGACTGTGCCTTCAGCCTGGCCCCTAATTTTCAGGGAACTGTACTCATCAGAGTGTACGTAATGAAAAAAAGCATAGCTCGCTTTGCTTAGAGGAAGAACGGAGAAAATAACTCCATGAATTGGTGACAGCTGTCCCCATTGACAGTCTGCCTTACTCAGGTAAGAAAACTGTAGTTAGCATATAAAAATGATGTCAGTTAAATCTAGCAAACTGAAGCGTTTCTGTATGCTTACTTTTTGCCCCAATGGCTAAACGGGGGATTTTTGGTATCGTTAAAGCAGGCTGGGATGGAACATTTGGGGACCATGGGCTGCGAAGGCTGCCTGCCGCCTGACCTGATCATCTGAATCGTGACGTTGTTTTTCCGTAAAAGTTTTAGGACACACATTTATACATATGAAATGATGCACGCTAGGATTTGGAACATTTAGTAACTAAACAGTTCCTCCAAGTAATTAGAACCTAACACTAATAATTAATGCCACAAATCAACACTTTTTGGGAGCAAAGCCTTGGGAAATGAAAGACTCCGTCGGGTGACCTCCATCCCCTCTCTCCCCATAGGGACTTTCCAGGGCACCTATTTTGGGTGGCTAGTCTCCTGAGGGGCGGAGTCAAAAGAGGCGAAGAAGCCCCTCCCCGTGTTTTTGTTTTGTTTTCACATAAACATGAACACTGGAGAAATGATGTTGTCAAACAGGCTATAAAGCATCTACGGCCTATTAACAGAAGCATAAACATTCAACAACTTAAAAAAATCAAAGCACGCTGGGGAAAACAAACATGAAGTGTGTACATGCCAAGTGCTAGCCAACACTGATGGAAACAAATGCTAAAATGGGTGTGAAACTGGAACATATGAAGAAGCCAAGGCATGCAGTTAGCACTTGTTCACCTGACTGCCCAACAGATTCAGCAGTGGAGAGGGCACTAGTGGACCTGGAATGACGTCGAGAGGCTGCAGGTAAAAGGAACGGCAACACCCACAGGATTAACACAGAAGTACCCAAGACAGGAAATGCCATAGTCCAAAGGGGACGCACGGACTGCTCCCAATGAGGCCATGTTTTCTCATGAAAGGAAATGATGCTGGAGATGAATGGAGAGCAAGTGCCAATCCCCGAACTCTACGGCAGCCTGCTGGCTCTCGCGGGGCTAGCACACACACAAGGCATGACAAGGGCACTCTTTGCGGTGTTCTTTAGGTACCACCTGGGCTCAGACTCCAGGTTTATATTCACGCCACGAAGCCTCAATGAGCTGTTATGGAAATATGCAACATGAAGGACATCAGGAGTCACAGAGCACCGTCTATATACCGAGTGGCACAGCAGTAGAATGGACTGTTTACTCAGCTCACAGGATGCCTCATCAGTACGTGATGCATATGCAACCATGCACCAAAAATAAATGCAGAGAAGGTCATCATGTTATCTGAACAGAAATAGAATGAAATCCCGAGAAAGGGGCTCAACAGATGAAATTCTCTGTTCCCCCCAATTTTTGCTCTACTGTTCCATGAATATCCCAAGTGTCAATGAACTTCTTGTTTAACTGCTAGAAATTTGGTTGTAACAGGTTCAAGGAGCTTCCTTGGCGAGGCAGTCACAGTACTCTGGTTATGAGCAACCGCCGTGTAATGCAGCTGGGGGCAAATCCCGGTTTGACTGCAACCAGCTGGAGGACCTAAGGCCAAGAGCTGGAGGACCTGAGGCCAAGTCCTAAGTCTCTGTGTCTCAGCTTCCTCAGCTGGAAATAGTGCTGAAAATGGTACGTACCTCTTGGGAGCGGAGAGAGTTGCAAGAGATCAGACAAAGAGCACCTAAAGCAGTGTCAGGCACTGAACAAATGGTGGGAGCAACAGTGGTGGTGCTGCTGGTGCTGGCAGTGGCAGGGATCATTATCAGTAAACTCCCATTTATATGTCTATGTTAAATATTACTTTATTAGCAAATATTCATCATAAGCCCATTAATTCAGCAACCTGAGGAATTCTATGCTAAACTCCATCCGCATATAGAACTACTTTCAGAAGAACTGTAAAATATAGCTTGGTTCAAAATATGAATTTATTGAGCAGGGTGCCATGCAAAATATGGCTTTTCCTTACCTCCGGAAAAAAACCCAAAAGACTGTTATGCTTATATTCATGACTCTGGAAAGAACAGGGTGGCTGTACCATAGAAAACTCACAAGGTTTCATAAAGCAATACCCAGCAGTGCTACTTTTCACACATGCTACTAGAGCGCAGTATCCTGTACACGTAAACACTTTCATTTTGTCATAAAATACCTGAACCTCAAATTCTTCAATATAAATTTTTTTTAAAGATTTTTATAAGGTAATCTCTATACCCAACATGGGGCTCAAACTCATGACCCTGAGATCAAGAGTCACATGTTCTACCACCAGCCAGGCACCCCTATAATTTTATTTTTTTAAGCTCAGGTCACTTTATGAAAATGCACATATCTGTGGTTATCAGTGGTATTAAACAGCAAAGGTAATCTGGTGGACAAGGACAAATTTTTACCAGCATGCAAGAGGAAAATTTCTAACTCCTCAAGATGCACAAAAATAACTGGCAATCTCTAAAACAGATATAAAATAATCACTTTCCTGACATAAGGAAGTTGGCAAAACACGTTTTAAGACTGAAGCATACCATTTACTGTACAATATTATCAGTACCATAGTAGTTTAAACTGAAAATAGCTTTTAAGCAATACTTATGGTTCCTTATAAAGTTGTCCTCTGGTTCTGTTTCAACAGACTATTCTACAGTAAATCTGTCATGTAATGAGTCCTTGTCATGTTCTCAAGTGAACACCCATCAGTGGAATCCAAGGTGGACCCATTTATGTCAAAGCCTGATTTTCAGCAGAGCCCCTCCTTTCACTTGAAAGCTGTCACTGTAACCATATACATATTCATACCATGAAAATGGTCCAAAATAACTCTGTAATAAAAATGCAAACCTAATGCCAATATATAATCACCAAAACATAATTATTTTCACATACTCCCCATTTCAAACTGAAGGCTGGCTATATAAATTGATCCAAAGGGACACTAACACAAAATCTCACTAATTTATAGAAGAGGTGGGAAACAATTATTAAAGTGAATGGGAAGAATGAGGAAACTTCACATTGTCTGAAGGGCACAGTGAGTTCCCTTGGGGACTGCCTTCAGGGACTCATCTATGAATTCCTAGGTCCTAACTCCAAACCTGGAAATCACTATTTAGAAACACTGCTGGACACTTTCTTTGTGCTTAAGCCTGGAGAGAAAGCATTTAATACATTTCAGAGGAACAAATGAAAGACACTAAATCATCAAAACTTTCAAATGAGGCAGGGGAGCAGCCAAGCTTTGAAGTCAAACTAGATTAAAACCTAGCTCCGCAATCTAGCTGCGTGACCTTGAGAAAGTGGCTTATTCTCCATAAGACTCTGTTCTGTCATCCGTAAACAAGAGTGACAGTAACACCTGTCCCGGAGGGTGAACAGGAGCCACAGGGGCTGCACCTGCTCACAGTGGTGCTGGTATGCAGAAAAGCACTGCTCTTGTTCTCACTGGATACAAGTTTTATGGACAGACTGAACCCAAGGAGGCAAAGGGGGCATGGCATAAAAATTCAGCTGGGAAGTCGTTAACCATGACCCCGACCACAGCAGAAGACCTGTGCCAATGGTAGTTTGTTAGGAAGAGGAGACATCTGCATCCACATCTTCTACCCTGGTAGGAACGACTGTACATTTCACCATTCTGGGCTGTCATCAGGAAAGATCCGTACGCAGATCCATTTCACCAAAGAAAGTGAAAATCAGACTAGATCACTCAAGTACTCAGGGTTCTGTGAGGAGCTCAAGAATTCAGCACACCTTGCCTGGTCCACTGACCGCATGCTGGTCCAGTGACCACATGCTGGTCCACTGACTGCATGCTGGATTACAAAGGCTGCTTCCATGGACAATTCCATGGACAGTAACGAAAATACCAGTACATATATGAAATAAAAACCCGGAATTGCCTAAGAGACCAGTGAATCGTTCACTTATAGAACAGGTTGTTTAGAAGGCCAAATAGTCAGCAAGGATGCAGAGATATAGAGCCTTAACTTAAAAGGGAAAATCACCAGTTCATTTGGTGTGGAAAAAAACATCATGGTGCCCCTGATTTGAGAATTCTTTTCTGCTGCTTCAGATCGCTGTGGAATAGCTGATGTGTACGAGCTAAGGTGCCCCACTCGGGATCTCACGGTCATCAGGTAGACTATTCGCACTATGTCAAGGGACCCATCTGGCATGGCTTTCACTGCATACAGGACGGCAGGTCATAAGGATGTCTATCTAGATTTTGGTTACTGACACTGATGGGATAAAAGGGTATTGGAAAGAAGTATGCGACGTCAGGAGCAGAGAGAGGCAACTATTAAGACCGTGTGTTTCTGATCTATCACCCACAGTGCCGTTTTCATATCTGAAAGACCAGTTACATAATTGAAGTCGAAGTAACAGACTGCTGCAGAGCACAGTTCCATAGAACAGCTTTAGGCCTAGGCCTAACATTCTAAAATGATTTCCACCAGACACGCTTATCAAAAGGCCATGCTTATTTAATTGCTGTAAAACTTTAAAACACAGTTTTACAGCAATTAATATGGCAAAGAACTGAAACACAATTACAGGAGAATACACAGTATTTTTTTTTTGTGAAAGTGTGTGTTTTTCCTAGAGGTCTCTAGGAATTAATAATTTGCACTAAGAGGCATACGTCCATTTTAGACTATTCAAACTAAGAAGAAAAGGCAATCATGATATTCCATAAAAGAAACAGGTTTCCCAGTCGATTTTTCTCAAATCCTAAAAACTGAAAATACAAACTCTCGCTGTTAGACAGACTAAGGTTGGTGGATAAGCAGCCCCAAAGGACTCCTGGCTAGTGACCTGAGACACGGTACTAATACCACTTTATGGCCACCAAATACTGTAAATTTCTGTCCTGGGAGGGCATCGGGTCACAGCCTCGCAATAGCTTAGTGAGCCCAGGAAGAATGAAAATATCTGATCAGTTAACAGTAAGCATGGTAAAGTCGTGCATTGTGCTGCACACGTAAGCAGTTTTTCAAAAAAGCTACTTTGGGCTTGCATTAGGAGGAAGCATTGAAATGACCCACTTAACAAAAAAAGCATAGCCAATACCTTCATCCATGCAGCTTTTTAATGTTATCATCCCTCAACTGAGCATATTTCATTTCGTAGACTATTGCAATTTTATTTTTCTCCACCTTTGAACTGAATCACGTAGGGCCTGACCTCAGGTACAATTAAAAACAAATTGCCGAAATTCAATGGCAAAAGATACACTTTGGATTCGCTCTACTTTTAAGAAGCAATTCACTTTCACTGAGCATCCGCTTCTATTAGAAGTGACCACGCAGATGGGCTTGCCAGCCAGCCAAGTGGTCACAAATGGCAACAGCAGAGTGAAGTGGTGTTTTTTTCCTCCAATATATAAAAACTGGAAATGGCCAAACTTGAAGCATGCAGAAGGGGAAGGGGACAACAAAGGGTAACTAAGGAAGAGGAAAGAGAGAAGAAAGGATCACGAGGACAGTAAAGGAGGGAGAGCAGGTCATTCCACCTGGCAGTGTGTGGGAAAGCATTTGGAGCAGGGCAGGGAACTCTGCTCCGAGAGCCAGCGCCTACGGGTACTCACCGAGTGGAGGAAAGCCCCGAGCGGGGCTCGTATCGCGGCTGCTCTCACAGCTGGTATTACGGCTGCACCCCTGACTCATGCTGGGTCGAGGGATACGGCTGCTCCGTGCTAGTGTGCAGCATGAGGGTTTCAGAGAAGGTGAAGAAGTTTAATGAAGACAGAGAAACTCACAAAACGTCAGTCACATTCTGTTAACGTAATCATGACATTGTCCGCGCTGGGGATGGGGGCGGGGTGGTCATTGTGATGGCTCTCCCTGCCGAGGCCTCACTGACCGGCTTGCTGACAACTGCAAAGGGCCTGCATAAACACTCGATTATGCTCAAGGTCTTGGAAAGCTGTGCATTTTTGTATGGAGGTGAAATAACACCTAAATGTAAGAAATGAAAAGAAAGCTTTCCAAAGAGCAAACTGGCACTGGGAAATCCAAGATCCAACTTTTTAAAGAAAATGATCAGTTTTTATGGCTTTAGCAAACTGGCTCGACAACATGATAAAAGACTAAAGCCATTTTCATACACACTGTGTTAGATAATTTATTTTGGGTTAAAACAGAATAAAGGCCCTAGTCCCTGAACTCCATGAACTTACCTAGTTAAAAGAAAGAGGGTTCACTTCTCTCAGCCTGGGCTTCTTTAAAAGAGAAGTTCTAAGGACTTACACAGCTGGAAAACCTGCCTACTTCAAGTAAGCATCTAGATGCCTCAAACATACTTAATTATCTAAACCAATAGAGAATAGAGAGCTGGGACCGCTACCTTTGTATTTACTGGTCCCAACATTTAGTTCCTGCTTTTTCTGTGGGGATCCAAACAGATCTGCCCATGGTCCCTACTCAAGCACCTTCACTTACACAGCCTTAACCATGAGTCTATCCATGGTATGTGGACTGACAATTCCCAATATTCATGTTAAAAGAGCCCTCTGCTGACCTAAGGATGGCCAATTACCGTATGATTATCCATGGGTAATTCTGTTATGCTCGTGTTACAAAACACTGAGAAGACAGAGTCACATGAATAGTTTAAGGTCTAACATAACTTGGCCATAAAGCTCACGGAAGAACATGATTCTTTTGTTTTCTACTTTAATCTGAAGGACCAAAGACACAGTACTGGCAAAATACTCAGAAATGACTCTGCATACTGACTAGGAGTAGCCACCTCCGTAACAGCTGGTGGGACAATAAATATGTCCATCTTGCGTGGACCTACTCATTCTGGACCACATAGAAATGTCTTCCCTGAACATCCTGGAAAAAATACACTAGAGTCACTGATGTAAAACCAGCCATGTTTACTATATTGTAGTGAGCGGAGCCTGTCACTTCAGAGCCAACGTGGATTTACAGCATGATCAAACTGTAACAAAGAATGACTTCCAAACCAGCATCACGGAACTCCCTGATGGAGAAGAATATGGAAGTGAGAATCCAAACCAACTTCCTCCTGTGGTCTCTGCTCAGTGCTAGGGTTACATCAGACCCCACAGTTACATAAGAGATGTCCAAATGCTTAGGTCTGCACTAACAAGCAAGGAAAAAATCAAGCAGAGGAACGCAATGTGAGCAATCTGTCAAAACGAGGCTTTGCTTGGGACTGTCGGAGTAATTCCTAAATTCGCCTTCATTTGCCATGTGACATGGAGGCCCTGGGTTTCTGCTCCCAACTAGCCATGATGATACAATCAGCAATTCTTGATAATAATTCTGAACAGCTCCTATGATGAGGGCAAATGCACAGGGGCTAAGTTAAAAAACCCTTAAAAAACTAGGGAGCATCCACTGACACCAATATATGAGAACGTACCTAGAACCTACCAAGTAATGCGGCTTATCCCTAGAGGATCAATACTACAGCTAATTTGTGAACTGACCACACTAACTCACTGGTCCAGCCATGCTGCCTCTCCTGTCTTAGCCTCCCCTTAGGAAGGTTCCAAGGAAGAGTCCCATCATTTAAATGAGAAGGGTACTGTGAGACGAGGTACACATGTGAGTACCTCTGAGTTCCTTGCTGAAAGGCAGACATGAAAATCTTACCTTATTTCACTACCTGCTCTGAAACAAACAATGGGAAATAAAGATAGTCCTGGTAAGTGTTTCACACATGCACGTGCTTAAGTTGAGCATTTCCTAAAGTTCTTGCCTGATCCCTTCCGACTGTTAACCCTGCTTCCACTCCCTTCCTTAAATAATACACATGCTACAGCAGTGGGGAATCTCTGCTCTCTCTCGCTGAGCCTGCTTTGTGAAGATAAGAGCATGAAAAGGGATAAGCGGACATGATCTGAAACAACAACATGCATAATTCTTAACAAGATTTACCCTCCACAGTATTCCAGCCAGAGAAAGTGTATTCTCCCCTTCGTGCCAACAGGCTTCCTTAACAAAGGCTAGTAGTAACATACATAGAAGGAATTCTGTTTACGAATTTGTAAACATCTGCCCACGGTTGCCCCACACCACGTTAAGGGACCTCTAGTGGTGACAGCAACTGTTCAAATGCTGGGTAATTTAAAACATGAGAAGAGTAATGGCCACTTCTAATAGCACTTCCAAAGACCACTCCTCAAGGAGGATCTTAAGTACATCAATCTATGATTTTTATAAAGACTAATGAATTAGATGGTCAAAGCTAAAAAAAACAATATATCAAATCAGACTCTTTATGTATTTTCAAAACTGACTGTTCTCTATGAGAATATATAATGTGAAGGCATAACAGAAGAGGAAGAGATGATGAAGACGTGCTTGCTGTTTGAACTTTCTGAAAACAGTATTCTTCAGGGATTCTGAAGTCCTGTGCTTACAGGAAAGGCTGGGAAGCCTTCAAAACCCATCTGATTGGCTTTCACTTCTGAGAGACACTCTACTTTTACAGTGTTTTGGGGGTAAACCCGACTTTTGCCTTTTTAGAAGGGATGGATCCTAAACCAGAACTCACATCAAAAGCAAAAGTACAAGAGGAATAAGGAGCACCACCATGAAACGTCTCTACAGTCTGGACATTTCCATGTTGTGGTCTTGAACACAGTAGTCTAATTTAACAGGAGACGCTGATTACCCTTAATTTTTGCTTCTTTCAAAATATTTTAACCAGAAAATCTGAAAACATCTTAAATGCATATCCACAGGATGTAAGCTGCCCAAAATAAAAATATTTTTATACCCTTTCTAAGAGATGAGTGGAAGAACGAAACTAAAGGCAAACTTCCAAAATGTAACTGCTATAGACAGTAGCTATTCATAGGACTTTATTATTCATCAAAAACAGAATAAAACCCTCAAATGACACAATTTACAATCTATTCTGCGTGGTTGAACAGTTTATGAAGGAATAAACTGCCAAGAAAAAAAGAGAGTAGCAGGGTTCTATTTTGTTTCTTGGTTATTCAACAGGAATTCTATCCTGTTTTGCTTAAGAAACCTTAAATGTTAAAGAAGAAGAGCTCTGGTGTCATTTTTATCACAGTTGAGGCATAGCTGAACCAAATATAATTTGCAGAATTAATTCTCAGTGCAAATTCCAAGCCTAGCTTAACAACGATTAAAACTATCAATTGGTTTGGGACAAAAGAAAATATTCTTAAAAGACACTTACCCCTTTTCCGAATATTTATATTTAAAGTTGCTATATAATGAACCAAATGTTCATAGATACGCAGGCATATACCAGTATCTACTAAATGATCACAACAAGGGGCAATCTATTGCTGGAAACACTGTACACCAGTCACCCCATAAAAAGGAATCTCTCAGCAGTACTATAGGAAGAAGTGGAAAGATGCACTGGATTCATTTATCTATCTTTGTAGCTGTGTGTATTCTCACTATGTGCAGAAATTTAAATGAAATATCTTCTTTAAACAGAATTGTATATATGACCTCAAAGCTTTACACATAACTAATCCCCTCTTAATAAGCACCAAAGAAATAACTTTGTCCAAAATACTGTCTCAAATAAGAACTCTCTGGAAGAGAATAGGTTCCTATTTAGTTCCTACTGATGGATGGGTTTCATAGGACCTTGTAAAGGCTTAGTAAATGCTATCTTTTCAACTATCCACAACACAAACTTCCTAGTTAAAACCATGGAATACCAGGTCCTAGAGTTATGTTAGGCAACCTAGGGCAGTTCCACTCCCAATTTCAAGAAAAAGGTAAAAAAGGCAACTTTAATAATGTAAAAAGTCAAATCCCCCAAAATAAAGTATTTTTAAAAGTATGATACTAATCTGGATTGCTAAGATATATCCTATACGTTTAGCTAACTACCAAAAAGGGACAGCCAAAACCTCATGAGTAAATATGAAATCAAATGCATTTTCCAGACGAAACTAGATCCAAACATACATATGTTACAGCCTCAAATCTGAAATTTAGATATTCTAGTCATGCCACTTTCCCTGGTGTATCCACATAACTTGTTATTGCTGGATCCAAGTAACTTGTCAGCTCAGGGACCATGCTACGTAATGCCAACAGAAAGCTGGGATCATGTAGAAATTTCTCACTCGCTTTGGAAATGTTAGTCAAACCAACTCCTATCCACTCTACCTCTTAAATATGTCCCCTCTCCCCAACTTCTCAGAGCTCAGGTGGCCTTGGAGGACTTGTAGAAGCAGCGCCCTCCCAGTCTCACTGCCCTCCTCTCCCACCTAACCCTGACAAACTTCCTTTGCTGCAGCTAACTGAATTACCTATGGTTCCCAGAGCCCATTATGCTCCCTCCCCTGTTTCTGAACATACTCCTCTGTGCCTGAACAGACTGTTTCTAAACACCTTTCTCCTCTTCTCCCTACCTTGCCTAATCCTGCCTTACACATCATCAAAAATGGACCTCTTCTGGCAAGGCTCTCCTCTCCCAGTCCTTCCAGATTTCTCTCTTGGGAAGAATGTATGGTGTAGGCAAGGGCCCTAAGACACTCCTTTCCTATGGTCCCAGAGCTCTGTGTCACAGTATCTGTCATACTATCTTACATTTCCACCCCTCAGACTGCAAGCTCTTTGAAAATCAGAAGCTATTAACTGTTTTGTCTTCTGATCCTAAGGCTTAATAAAGTGCCTGTGCATCACAGGAAACAACAGTAAAGCTGTTGATGAGATAAATAAATCAGAAAGAAAAGCCAACAGGACTTATAAATATAGTTGTACTCTGATTTCACATTAATAGATTTTTACCCTTAGAAAACAGTAAAAGTATAAGAAAGAGTATGTACACAGATTTCTTATAATATATTACAAAAGATGCCTTTTATATTAAAAGATTATATATGAATTAGATTTGGAGTAAGCTGCTGAGAGTAATTTAGGTAATCCTACATGCTGTCGCAAAGAAACTAAACACTATAACACAAAAATATTATTTATTTGGTTTTCATTTGTTTCTAGTTTTCATGTTTGAAGTATCTATACACATTCTTTGACCGTAAGTTCCACCAATTAGGTTAGAGAAGTTCAAAATCAAAATATACGTGGACCCTGCAAATTGCTTTTGCAAGCATATACAGATTAATGGCTACTTAATGCTAGTGCATGAAAGAAAGAGGAAAGGCAACACTGCTACTAATTGTGAAGAAGACAATCCTGCCCATTCCCCCAGTTCCAAAATTTTGTTAAGTGGCTCTAAAACACAAAAGCCCATGGTGACGTAATTCTTTTCCATCAGTCTGAATGGTGAGGCCCATGTATTTTTCAGTTATAATTCAAACCTGAACATGCCATAATCTGTAAAAAGCACAAATCAGAGTGTCTTTTTAACACAGGCAAAGTGACATCCTCAGTTCAAAAACAGATCTCTATTTCCAACATTAGACAAAGTCATTACAATAAAAATTATGACCAAGTTGGGAATGATGTTTTGAGGTCTTCGAGAATCCTTACCTAATCCTATTCGGTTTGGACTTGTTTCTCGGCTACATCCCTGACTCCTGGGAATCTTGCTTCGTTTTTCTGAAGAGGGGGTCACAGGTGGGCCTCTTGAGGAACCCCCAGCAAGGCCACCATAACCACTTCCCAACAATTTCCCTGGGGAACTTGACCGGCTGCCAGCTAAAAATGAAATAAAACAAAACTGAAGAATGGCTGTATATCAGAGAATAAACTATAAGAATTTCAGAAGTCAGTAAAGCACATTCATTTGGCTGAAATACTTTTATATAAAAATGGCTTTTTTGTTGGTGGTAGTACTATTTTCTTTTAAATAGAGCATAAGAAAACATCAAATATAAAAGAATGTTCAAACAAAGAATTATTACAGGTAGAATTCTACAAAAATGACAGTAAAATTTCTGATTCAAAGAGCAGGCTGAGTACAAACAGTTCCCTCTTCCTCAGCCAATTTCTACAAATAATCACAAAGGTGTTTATTGTTTTGTATTTTTATTCTTTAAGAGTTGATATGTGAAAAATTTTAAGTGTAACCACTGGAAAAAGAGAATTCTAACAGAAGTTTCTTAAACATTAGTGGAAGAAAACAGATCCAAGAACATCCCATTAACTTAACAAATGGAAGAAAAGGAGGCAAGAAGATAACTAGAAACATGGTAAATAAAAATCACAAAATAAAATGGTAGGAATAAACTCAAACAAAATAAAATAGTAGGAATAAACTCAAACATAACCATAATAAATGTGGCTGGATTAAATTCATCTATTAAAAGATTCTTGGATTGGCTTTTAAAAAAATGAAATTCAACTGAATGTTGTTTATAAGAAATAAACAACATACCTAATACAAAACAATAAAACAGAATGAAACAGCATTAAACAAAGGACAAAGGATATCTCATATTAATAAAAGGATCACTGTCAATGAAGACATAACAACCATGAACCTTTACGTTCCAAGTAACAGAGCCTTGAAATATAAAACATAAAATTGATAAAAATAGAGAGATATTCAGAAGGCCATAATTATTAAGACACCTCTAAGAAAAATAACAACTAATGAAACAAATAACTAACATACCTCTCTGAAATTGACAGAGCAGTCAAAATTATACAGATATGTATAAACACACATCCCACATACACACATGTACAACAAACAGAAGAAATTCTTTTCACTTTTCCACACATATTACAAAAACCAACTGTGTACTAATCTTCAAAGGCAATCTCAGAAATCTACAAAAGTAGAAAATTATATAGACCACATGCCCTGAGATGTATACAAGAGAATTAGAAATTAAAAACAAATCATATAGTCAGTAATTTTTATAAATGACTAAGTGGCTGGATAGCTATATAACCATTACTCATGAGACAACATTTTTTCTTAAAGAAAACAGCAAAATTTTAAAGATCACATCAATACACCAAAATGGCAGTCATCTACTTAGACCACTCTCCTGAAGTGGAGAAGGTAACAAAATTCTCAAACATAAAATGCATGTTATTACATATCAGAATAGAATGAATCAGGGATACAAACCCTTAAAATAACACTTAACCTGGAAACACACACACACCTCCATCACTCAAATGAATCATTAAGGTAACCACTCACAAGAATTAGAACTTTATAATGACAGCTACAATTCAAAATGAAATTCATTATAAAAATCAGTGGTACACATCACCATGAAAAAGAACCGGTCTCAGGATTTATTAATCTTGCCCATAAACTTTGGGCACCCAAATGAACTATTAAGCTGTGTAAAAGGAGAAAAGAAATCCATTCCAAACTCTAGAATTTGAACATACAGAAAAATGCAGAAAGATTAACTAAGCTCAAAATAAACACAGAAATTAATATTGTGCAAGGAACATGGGACATGGGTGGGGGGAGAACAAAAAAAAAAAAAAAAAAGCGAAAAAAAAAAACGAAAAAAAAAATTGGGAATGAAAAATGTGGAAGGGGGGGGGGGAGAAAAAAAAAAAAAAAAAAAAGGCAAGAAAAGAAACGGCTTACCACCAGCAGGATTAGCAGATCTGGATCCTTGATTATGAGAGCAGACCAAAGGACAGGCAAAAAGTGGATTAAAAGACAATAGCACAATACAGAAGGTCAGCATGCAACACAACACAAATGTCTTTGTTCACAAACACATTAGCAAAATAGCTTTTTCTTCTAGGTCTTTTTCCTCCTAGTCTACTTTTGTACTTATGCTTATCATAGTCATATCATACTCTATCAGCATTTATTTCGGGTCTGTTCATGAAACACTGGAACCTACAATGTGCCAGGCCTGGGGCCAGGTGGAGGAGATGCAGAGAAGACAAGTGTCTTGGCTTCCAGCAGCTCATCTCTTTTCTAGTTTTGAGCAAGCGGAGAGAAGTGACTGCATCCTACTCGTTCGTGCACCTCTACCACCTTAACTAGCACTTCGCACAGAGCAAGTGCTCGATAAACATCATGAATTTAAAGAAACTGCTACTAAGTAGTTTCACCTGAATGTCCTATGCCAAATCCTCAAACATTTAAATATTAATCTTCACATATTTGAATCCTCAAACATTTAAAATATGCTGTTAAGGGCCCTAAATCCAATGTTAATTAAATCTACTTAATATTATACCAGGACTACAAATGCTAGTGTATCTATCTACATTTGTAAAACATAAAAATGTGCTCATTTTTACTTCCTATTAAAATAATGTTTTTAACACTTAATTTATATGCCTAAGTTTGAGGTCCAGTCTTGATTGTTTGCTGGTGCTGTCTCCCTTCCTGTGAGTGGAATTTAGAGAGTAAAGTGAAACTGAAGACTTTTAAAGTGGAGCCCCAAGCCTGGGTGCAGGATTTCTACAGGCCTGAAGGGGTAATGCTCCCTCCTCGCCCTCACCCCCACTACAGAAGCCAGTAGTCTTCACCACCTCGGACGCAGAGGAGCCAGACTAGTGGCAAGAACCCCTGCAGAGGCCAATGCCAGAGAACAGCAGACAGAAAGAAATGCAAAGTACTGTTCAACCCTCCCTCTCCAAGAAAGGAACTAACACGGCACAGCTAAAATCTAGACATTTTTTATTAAACTTAATTTTAACATACTAACCCATATTTTGAGTTTTGAACATTTTGTCAAGAAAACTTTCTGTGCAAGAAGACCTGACTCAAGTTTATGAGGTCATGACAGAACGTTCTATCCATCTGTGACTCCAGGCTTCACTAGGGTTCAACAGAATAACCAGAGCCGGCATGCTGTTCTCAAGGTAGAAGCTGCTGGGCTACGCACAGATGCACAACCTACGCTATATTGTGTACACCTGTGTGATGCCCCAGAAGCCTGCGCTTCTGCATCAGACAAGCCCAGCAGCAGTGGATCACCGGCATCACACCTTCTTTCAGAAAGGCATTACACTTGTTTAACGTGAGGTCTAGAGTTACCAGAGGGACAGGGGAGAGTACCTGAATTCACAAGGAGCTGAGAAAGGCATTCTAAAAACTAAGGCAAACCTAAGGTTTGGCCACAGACTCTCTACATGAGCCAGACAGCTCCCGGGGCCACAAAGGAGGTGGACACATATGGGCGGGGGAGCAACCCTGTGCAGCTCCCAGGGAAGGGGAGCCTTCCCCCACCACATGCACGTGGACACCCAGCGATATGCACACAGAGGGAGTGGGGAACTCAAACGCACGTGTGGCTGGGAGGTGAGACACCAGGGTGCTCCCGAGAGCTATGTGAACACCCCCCTTCCATCTGTGGCTGCTTTCATGGCCGATGCTAACAAGCCAAGTGACTCGACATGTACAGACAAGCAGTAATGGAAGCGAGAGCAGCGGGGCAAAGCAGGAGCCCACACTGGCAGGAAGAAGAGAGCAGGCTGCAAATGTTAGAACACAGGGTTAATGGGGAGAGCTTTTAATGGATTTGCTTATTACCACTGAAAGAGAACTCCACGTTAAAATAATCCCCAGGTACTGCTCTTAAATTACATCAGAGGGAGTCCTTATCAACAGTAAAATGGGTCACAGCCCAGGTAGGTCTCAATTTGAGATGCTTGAGGAAAGGGAGAGAAGCCACATTTTAATATTTAATGCTTAATAATACAAAATTTAAATCCTGGCCAGGAGACAAAAGCACCCTGGAACAGTCCATGCTGTAAGCTTACCCACAAACATCAAGACTATTCAAGGAAGCTTAGAGCCACACAAATGCTTCTCCTCTGAAGTACTGAAAATACTACCAATTCTTCAACCGTAGAGTGGGCTGCTGAGCAAAACTGAGATAACAGAGAGTATAAAATATACTTCTTACGCTGGGACTGTGAAACCACTTTGGCGCGACTGCGGCCTCGATTGTCAGGTGTGGTGGCGACATTGGTGGCGCTTCCGGAGCTCTGCCGTCTCGTGCGGATCCGACCTGGAAGATGCAGCAAAAACGGGGTTTCCATCATGTTTTTAGTAGGTGTGACCGACTCAAGAGAACCACCCATACCATGAACAAGCGGCATTGAATGGGCCACCCGCTGGGGCATGGGTCTTCCTCGTGGGCTGTTCTGACCCATTTCCCTGTGTGCACACGCACACGCATCTCGTCCGCCACCCAAGTTCTACAGCTAGGTTAGCAACTTCTGAGAGATGTGAACCTGGAATATGCTTCTGTTACAAAGGTTCTAGTATATTATATTTTCTGATGAGGAGATATCTATTAGAGGATTTTTTTTTCCACATTAAACTTTTTTATTACCTACAAATCTGTCAAATTTCCAAAGGCAGAAAATATTAGCTATCATCTTATGAAAAATACTACAGAAAAAAAGAGTAAATACAAAACAAAGCAAAATAAAATAAAATAAAATAAAATAAAATACAACACAACAAAAAACCAAAAAACCAAACCCTTAACTCAGCAATCAACAAAAGCTAGAGCACCGTGGAGAATAAATGTGTTTTGATATGCAGCATTAAACTTCTATTTTAAAGCATGTATGCCTACAAGTTCCTAAGCTGCAAAAGATGAAGACAGAATCAGTATTATAGGAGTAGCAAGAGAAACAACGACCTAAAAATAATGCAATGTCACAGGTGTTTAAAGAATTTGCCATTGTAAGTAAAGCAATCTGTTAACTCCCATTATTAAACCACGAAACCACAAAACAAAAGTGAACTCAGAAATGCAAAATCATTGATAATCAGACTAGTATGGTTAGAGATTAAATTTTTTAAAATTCAGGGCTTCTTTGGTTTTGGGTGGGCACAAAATGCCTCTCCTGCTATACTTCAGTCAGAACAATCTGATAGGGAAAACACAAACCAACGGAACTCACATTGGCATCTTACATTGCTCAAAACCACTTCTACCTCATCATTTAAGAAAGCTTACAGAAAAAGAATACAGGAAAACAAATCCTAAGGCTTGAAAAGGGTTCAAGAAAGGGAGGTAAGGAGCAATAAAAGCACTGCATTAAGAAAAAAAAAATTAAAACTAGAAAGAATAACTTTTAATCACAGCTGAAGTAAAGACTCACAAATTCTAGAATCTATACGAAGAGCTACATGTATGGTATTATACTAAGAGCTGTATATGTGTGAACTTGGAATCCTCCTAAGAACATATAATTATTCTCATATTACAGATGAGGAAAGTTGTAAATGGGGGGGGGTTCATTAATTTGTCCAAGGCCACATCACTGGTTTAGCTACCTGTGCCTGCCTGGCTGGCCATTTTATATTCTTAAGGAAGTCACCAAGCTAAATTAAGGCAGTCACCAAGGCAAAGTGAACATGAAAAACCAACTGAATCTCACTCCCTATTTTAAATTTACTGTAAAACATTTAGGTCACAAAAAGATATTTTAAATGAACATCCATACCCATTCAGCTTAAAAAATAAAAATCTTTGCTAATGTCCCTGTACCTCCTACTTTCTCCCAACATTCGGTAACCTGATCTTAAACCTAGCGTTCATTATCCCCTTGCATTTCTTTAAACTTTTAATATCATTGTATAACCATAAAACAGATGGCATTATTTTATATATTTTAAGTGCTTTTAATTATACCACAGAGTATATATTTTTCCAAAACTTACTGTTACGCTCAACATTTTTTTTGTGAGGTCACTTATGGAAATGATTTTTCTGTAGGAGGTAAAGAAGAGATCCATTTTATTTTTTCCATATGACTACCAACACCCAAATACATTTTCCTAATCCCTTTCTTACTGATCTACAAAACCATCTTTTGTCATTTACCAAGTACTTAAATACATTTGTAGGCTTCTCAATTGTCTAGTCTATCCCATTGGTCCACGTGTCCACACTGGTGCAACATCAAAATGTTGTGATGAGCTTAAAAAGAAAAAATCTTGCTAATTGGAAATCAACCCACTTTTTCCTAAAGCCTTTGCTCTCTTCCAGATGCATCTAAAGACTCAGTTTAAAAAGACCTGTTGAAATCTTAACTGGCATTATGTGGACAAAGGTGTTAATTTGAAGGATGGCGGGGGGAATAAGACAGCTTTATGATATTGATCTTTCCATGTTTTTTCCTTCATTTATCTCACTTTCTTCAATGTCTTAAAATAAAGCTTTATCTTTCCTAAAAGCCTTACTCAATTCTTACAGATTTATTCAAAGGTGCCTTATTTTTATGACGTACTATATTTTCTAACTTCTTGACAAACGTGAATGTAATTAATCTTTATATTTTGATCTTAATTCTGGGAACCTTGCTAAACTTTTGTTAATTTTACTAACTTGTATGTAGATTAGTTATGTAAATAGAATACCATCTACAAACAAGACTTCAGTTTTTTCCCTTTGAACTCCACCCTTTCATTTCTCTGCCTTTATCCCACTGTCTCAGACATGTAGTCCACACCTATATGGGTAGGATTTACTACTCTGAGTCACATTAAGCAAAAAATATTCTGGAATTTCACAAAAACTAGGATATTTCAACAGACTAAGAGAACTCCTTTATTATTCCTAATTGCTAATAATTTGCCAAAATGTTTGTTGAATTTTTTGATGCTTTCTCTGCATCTTCTGAGACAAGAGGATTCTTCTCTTAGATGCACTGAGCTCCATCTGGAAGTTTCTAAGCTATTAAACCTGAGATAAGGGGCACCCGGGTGGCTCAGTCAGTTAAGCACCTGCATTTGGCTTGGGTCGTGATCCCAGGGTCCTAGGATCAAACCCTGCATCAGGCTCCCTACTCTTCTCCCTCCACTGAGCCTGCTTCTCCCTCCCCCTGCCACTCGCCCTACGTGTATGCTCACTCACTCTCTCTGTCAAAAAAAAAAAAAAAAAAAAAAAATTAGTAAAATCTTTAAAAACAAAAACAAAAAACCTGAGATAAACTCCTATGCTCACAATATACACACTCACAATGTCTCAACCATACTTCTTCTGGTTTAGTTCTAAGGCTATGCCAGCTCCATTAATGAGGAAAATATTCCCACTTTATCTTCTTGGAGTTGATGGAAGACTGGGATTATCCAATTCCTCATACGATTGAATTTCTTAATCCTGTCTAGTGAATGTTTAATTCCTATTTCATTAACTTGTACTCTTATCTTTATTATTTCCTTCCTACTCTTCTTTGGGTTTATTCTGTTATTTTTCTAACAAATTGGAAACAACCTCCTAACTGTTTCTCTTCTAATATAAACTCAAGGCTATGAATTTCCCTCTAAGAACTGCTTTTGCTTCATTCCATGAGGACTGATATATAGTTCAACATAATGTGTTGCTTTAAAAAATATGTATTTCTAGGTCTCATTTGTTTGTGTTTTGCTTTGGAAAAATAAGCTGGATCTGTATTTTGTATTTTACAACAAGAAAAACAGCAAATGAACCTAAGATTAAAATGTAAAACACAAAACCATAAAAGTTCTAAAAGAAAACATAGGAGAAATCCTTTGTAACTTACAATGGAAAAGTCCATTCTAGCTATGACTTAAAATTAAAACCATCAGAAGATTGAGAAGTCTGCTTAATTTTTTGCAAAACCTCAGTATGACAAGAATAAAACTATGAACAAGTTAAGGAAAATGACAAATTGGGAAAAACTATTTGCAATTCAAATCACAAAGGGCTAATTTCCTTAACATACAAAAGGTTTCTAGGAATCAGTAAGAAGTCCACCAACCAGTCCTGTGCTGATAAATGTTTAACAACTGGCAGTGGGGGAGGGTTCCTACCAATCAGTGTTTTCCAGTTTCTCTGGTGTAAATATTCCCCACCATGGCCAGTTTCAGGCTACTAACATGAAATCAACCAGATTCCAAATATCCAAAAATTTAACAATTGGCTGTCATAAAATAGTTCAAGACAGCTCCAGCACACCACTGCCGCAACCCAATAAAGAATGGACAAAAGCTAGGAAAAGAGAGTTAACGGACAATAGAAATAGCTCTTGAGCATATGAGATATTGTTCGGCCTCACTCAATTAAGAATGCCATTTATCGATCACATATCAGAGTGGCAGAAATCCAAGAATATGCTGATAGTCTAGTGTGTAGGAAAAGAGGCACTGTCATTGGTGCTGGGAGTGGAAATTAGTACAGCCTCTATAAAAAGCTATTTGGCAATATCTACCACAATTAAAAATGCATGGACTTTTTAATCCAACAATTTCACTTTAGTTTATTCAACCAATATACTTGCACCCATACAAAATGATGTATATAAGTGGTTATATTCATGGCAGCATTGTTTGCAAATAATCCCAGTGTCTGTCAAAATGGGGCTGGCTGAGTAAGGTAATCCACATAGTGGAATGCACTACAGTGATAATCAAGAATGAGGATGCCCTCTCTAACCTAATATGGAAGGATCTTACGATATGTTAAGTAAAAATCACCAAGATGCAGAATAGTATGTATAAATATGCTATCTTTTAGGCTTTAAGAAGGGGAGAAAATATGATTTTTATATTGCTTTTATATGCCAAGAAACTCCTGATAGAAAAGAAACTAAAAATTGTTAGACTGGTGTGGAAGGGAAAGAAGTGATAACTAGGCAAATGAAGAGATAAGATTGTGTACTTCCTACTATCTTTGAGCTTTGAACTACATGAATGTGTTACATATTCAGAAATATATACATATGTGTATATTTTTCAGACACATGAAAGTTCTTAGTTTATTAATCCTCTCATGAAAAAATCTGCATAATCACCACAGTCACTACAAAATCTTTACTCCTTCTGTTGTCCAATCTCCAGCTCACTTCTTTTTGCCAGCACCAACAATGGTTTTTAGAGTCCCTGACTTTCTTCATTCTGTTCTTACATTCCTTTCACTGTTTTTTTGATGACTTTTTTCTTCTCATATAGGCCACATCTTGCAAATCTGTGTCTGGGTTCGTTTTTCTTTGCATATTCCAAGGAATCATAAATCATGCGAAAGCCCAG